CCAAGCCCACGCCCAAGAGGAGCCGCATGCAGCAACTTGCGCTGCGACGACGCTCCTTCGACCCTAGCCTAGCCGACAAGCCCACCACGTTGCGCAAGTCCATGGAGAGGAAGCGGCGACCCCTCGGCTTTGGAAAGGGCAATGGCAATGTTCACGAAGACCAAAACGAGCACCCGCTACCATGCAGGCAGCGCCTTCCAGATGTGCTTGCCGACCCACGTGAATCAGTCGAAAGCACAAACTCCTTGGCCCCTCCTGCTACCAGAGCATCCGAATCCTCCAGGTCAGACGGAAGCTCCGGCGGCCACGTCTCCTTTGAAAATCCCCAACGACCCAGCCACCCGGCCCGGACGGGTACCGGCCGCTTCACCTTTGGCCGCCGGAAGCAACGGGCATCGTTATTCCCCCTCCCCGTCAAGGTCGAGCCTCCACAGTTCCCCGACACTGCACCTGCCACCCCACGTGCCTCGACCGGCGCAAGGAGCTCGGCCTCAAATCAACACTCACCACCAGGAAGTCCGCCGCTGACTGCGCGCCGTGTCGACCATGGGGATTCAGGGGCACAAACGCCGCCAATCCCTCTTGCATCGCAAGTTGCTCTAGCTGCTGGTGCTTTGAATTTGGCCTCACCCGGTTCAGGCACTCTCCTTCGCAACGATTCGTACAGATCATCTCGCTCGGCCCACTCTTCGGGAAACAACAACGGTGCTGCTCGCTTAGGGCTCCGAGGACGCTCATCGACAATGGGCTCATTAGACGCGCGATCTGAGGACGCTGGATCTCCCACACCACCCGGAGGTCCCAGTGGCAGGACTTCAATATCGACTGCTGGAAGAAGTAGTTTCAGCAACCTTTTTGGCCTCGGATCGAGATTTCGTCAGAACTCTGAGCCACATTCGCCCCGACATGGCGCATCTGCTCACGGCTTCTTAGGAAACTCTGCCCTGTCCTCTCATCAAAACTCAATGAACATTAGCCGAGAAACATTGATCCTACCAGAGCGCGAAGAGGGCGAGACCCCAGGAAGGTATCTGGAACGAATCGAAGCAAACAATTTTGACAAAAGCGTTGTCGCCAGCTACCTCAGCAAGACCGATGACCCCTTTTTGCTTGCGGTATTGCGAAGCTACATGCGCAAGTTTGCTTTCTTCGGTGATCCCATTGACATGGCCATTCGCAAGTTGCTCATGCAGGTCGAGCTGCCCAAGGAGGCGCAGCAGATTGACCGTGTTCTTCAAGGCTTCGCTGACCGCTATCATGAGTGCAACCCCGGCATTTACATCAATACAGGTAATGCTATTCTACCCGTAAGACATGCTCACGTTTCTGACGCACCACAGACAAAGCATACTTTATATCCTTCTCCATCATCATCCTCCACACTGACGCTTTCAACAAGAACAACAAAAGAAAAATGCAGAGACCAGACTACATCAAGAACTCTTCTTGTGAAGGCGTATCAGCTGATGTCTTGGGCTGCTTCTACGACAACATCGTCTACACCCCTTTTATCCATATTGACGATGAAGTTGACCTGAAGAACATTACTTCGAAGAAAAGCAAGAGGACAGCTGTACTCAAGGGACCAATGAATGATCCCGCGAGAAAGGCGGCGAAAGAGCCCATCGATCCGTACACCTTGATTTTCGAGGGCAAGCTCGACGCACTTCGTCCCACTATTCGAGACGTGATGCAATTGGACGACCCCTATAACTACACTGGAACTGCGGCAACACTAGATACTAAGAACATCTACAAGTTGTTTTCAAGGTACGGCGTAATCCAGATTGTGTCTTCCAGATCAAGGCCGGAGGCTTTCATGTCAGAAGCAGCCCAGGAGAACCCACTCGGTACCTCAGTTGGAATTGTAGAAATGCCCGTGACCAAAGTTGGCATCCTATGGCGAAAGGACACGAAAAAGAAGAAGGCACGCTCGCCGTGGCAAGAATGGGGTGCGGTGCTCACACGGTCGGGATTGTCTTTGTTCCGCAATTCTACATGGACGAGGAGCCTAATGAGCCAACATGAGCAACATCTGAAACGCGGTGAAGCCGGCCCGGTAGTGTTCCAGCCAGCCTTGCCAGACTTCAAACAAGATCACATCATACCAATGGATGGTGCTGTTGCGCTGGTTGACAACACTTATAAGAAACATAAGCATGCTTTCGTCATGTTTTCAAAGGCCGGGGAGGAAACGTTTCTAGCTGATAGCGAGAAGGACTTGAATGAGTGGCTGGGTGTGTTGAACTATACTGCCGCGTTCGAGACTCTTGGTGTTCGATCCAGAGGCATGATTGGTGGCTTGTATGAAGGGCAGAGGAACCGGGGCATGAGGCGTCTAGAGTCTTCGCATTCAACCAAGACGATACCAACAACCACTAGCGAGGTGATGGTCCAAAGCGGAAAGATTGACAGCCAGTTTGCACAGCAAATGATGAACGCCCGGAAAGACCTTATGCAGGTGCGCATATCCGAATCTGAGGACAAGCTGACCTCGGCTATCAAAGAGTTGGAAGCACGTTTGAGAGATGCTAGACATCTTCAGATTCTTGCGCCTATCCAACCAAAGACGAGGGAGCTTATTATCCATGCTGCAGGGCGCTTGTCAGCTAAGTTGAAGTGGACCCGTATTGAGATTTGGCGGATGAAGTGCCACCGTGACATCTTGGCCCAGGAACTCGAAGATGAAAGGCAAGGGGGCATCGACAGAGAAGCACAGACCGATCGACCTTCAGAAGTCCATCAGCCACAGATTTCCCCTCAGCAATCTCACCGAGGCTCTAAAGTCAATAGTCTGGCAAGGTTGACTTCGAAAACTAGCTCACTTACCAGCGGGAACAAGCCGCCCCCATTGTCTCCTGGCTTGTCAGGCCGGCCAGGGACCAAGTCCTCCAGGGAAACAGATTTCGGTGGGGATGAAGCGTTCAAGACACCACCAGAAACATCTCGGCAATCCAGTCCCAATGATCTGTCTGCTCACTTCCACATAGCTCCGATATCAATGAGCCCCACGACATCGGACCGCCGAAGTTCCTTCGCAAGCTCTTCTGCACGATCGCCGTCTTATGTCGCTGGTCACCGGCCTTCTATATCGACCACAGGTGACGGCACAGCGGATTCGGATTCGGAGTCTGACTCTGAGAACGGGTCGCAGTATGCCACTCCACCTCCCGGCGAGGCGGAAGAGTTGGACTCCAAGCTACCAGAGGTATCACCAACGGGCACAACTCGACCAGAGGCTGGCATTGAACCCGACGGCGAACAAGTACTTGCCACTTTGGCAGGCTCGCCTAGATCCCATACTAGACAAAAAAGAAGCTTGCACCGCACTCTTCGAGAGTCTCGTGGTAGCTCATCACACCGTCGTGGTCACAAGAGCAGAGACTCTGCATCTACAATTGCCAGTGACACCACCGAAAGTGAGGGACTGGCACGTGGCAAGGGCAGCTTCACTGTCCATGGCAAAAAAGCATCTGTTATCCAGTTTGGTTCTGACTGGCAGAACATGACAGCAGAAGAGCGACTAAAGACCAAGAAGCAGCTGCAAGAGGCAGCCGAGGCAGCATCCGCCGATGAAAGAGATGGCAGTGTTGCTAGTGGTGCTGCAGCAACTCCATGGTCTCCAGGAAGCGACAACATCGACCCCTTCGCCGTTCGGAAGCTATCGACAGACACAACAAAGCAGCGACACGTCTCATCTCAAACGATAACCCCTGCGAACTTCCGTGAGGCATTCAAGATTGACGAATCCGACTCGGATAGCGCAGCCTCAGACATGAGTGATATTGCGGAAGAGTCGACGCCGAGTCAACGAGCGCCTGATGACAAGCATGTCACAAAAGCCGGGGGCCCCCTTGCTGAGCATGTCGAGCGGCCCCCACAGAGTCCCATGACCACTGCAGCTTAGCTTGAATAACTTTATACCTTGTTGCATTCGTTTGGATTTCAAAAGTGGATTTATAGCATGTTGGCACCGCTTAAGCGGATACACTTTTTTTCTTTCTTTTGTCAACTTTATATACTTTTCCAAGGGCTCATATGCACCTTCACATCTAGCATGGCGTACTTAGGCACCGGACTGAAAACGCAGCATGGGCGCGTTACTTGTATAGACGGACTCTTGGGGAACGGTGTTTTCTAGAGCACATAGCCCATTGACGCCAACCGAGAGTTAGGATAGTGCGCATGACTGATACCAGGGTGAACGCTGCGGTGTTTTGGCGGGGATTCTGTGTAGTAGTGAAGCAGAATTGACTAGTTGCCTCATATGCCGTGCGTGTAATGGATGATCAGGGTTGGTTGTGAGTGTGTAGATGGATGCATAAAAGTGCACAGTGGTAGGGATATGCTAGTGGACCTGCGGGATGGTTCTTGGTCCATGTGCTCGCCCCGCTTCGTAGGACATTGTCCATATGTACACAGACTATGAAGCCACACCTCCTTCCTCCCCCCACCCTAAGTCACCACCGGCTTTGCCACAGAAACAGGAGTATACATGCAATCCTCCTTCTTTATGATTTCCTACCTGACCTCATACAGCGGTAACACAGGCTAAATCAGATGAGGATTTGCGGCATTGAGCAACTACTGCAAACTCCTTACTACCTCCCCCTTTCTCCTCTGAAGTATCCAGCCACCAAGGCACACAAGTTTCGCATGCCAGAAATGCATGCCTGTTTTCCGAGAAATCCAAGCACAGCAAGCCATGTGATTGGACTGTGTTCCGAACTTATTCGGAGCAGGGTACACAATCGGGTTATAGTGGGGGCTGATAAGCGAACCGACGACGTGGGTAACCGGTCTGCTCAAACCCCAAGTGTCGCGAGCCAAACGTCAAGGTCGTGTCACCGCCTGGATGATACAGGGACACTGTGGGGTATCTTGCCTTGTTATCCGTTTTGTGCCTGGGCAAAAAGATGTTCGCGATAGGACTGTGAGGCGTTTATATATAAGAACGTTGTAATGCTATCGCTGATCACTTACTTTCTACAGTGTTTTACAGTCACTTCGTTTCTCTCTCTCGCTCTCTTCATTCAGTCGCTACACTTCCCCCTCTGGCTAGGGCCTTAGCTTCCATTCTTTAAACCATAGTCTCTTTTATTTTTCGTTCTTACGGAAAACCCATATATTTTATTTAACAACTTCTACCACATTTTTTCGCCAGAAACAAAAAATGTACACCAACGCCCTTACTGCACTTGCGCTCTTTGGCAGCCTCGCCAGCGCCCTGCCCGCAGCTAATCTGAGCGCGCGCCAAAATAAGCCCTGCTTCGTCATCGGCAACCAGCAGCTCCCTGCCGAGACGAGCGCAGTAGTCGACCAAATCAAAGGCAGCGTCACGTGCAACAACAACGCCAAAACAATCGATAACATCCCCGACGTGACCTCTGGCGGCCAAACCTTTTCCCAGATTAACTTTGCCTCCTCGGGCCAGGGCCCCCTCGCCTTCTCCCTGGGCCTCTTTGAAACCGCAACGCCCCTCGCAGAATCCAACCTCGAGGCCTTCCAAGACGCCCTCAACGTCTACCACGCCACCGAAGCCGGTCTGCGCAGCGAGGGCAGCGCCCAGGTCAACAGCATCAAGGTCCCCAAGTTCTTCCTCCAAATGCAGATTTCGAGGATCGAAACTGCGCTTGGTAGGGCGCCTACTGCTCCCGGTCTCCAGGTTGACCATCTGAGGGATAAGATCAATGAGGCTGCGGGACGCGAGAGCCAGGATCTCAAGGATCAGGTTACGCAGTTGGCGACGCAGTTGCAGTAGAGGTTTTTTTTTGGTGGAGTATGAATGTGGGCATGGGGGGAGCGAGAGAGACTGATTGTATCACTACTACATATATTATACCTGAATAGGAAGGAGAGGGAGAAATTATTAAGATGGTTTTATACCTACCCTTGTTTTTTTGTTTTTCGCATGCATGATGAGTGATACATCGGGCAACCTTTTTTGGTACGTTTGAATCGGAGTCGGGCCGATACACAACTTGTTCTAGATATGTTTCAGGGTCGTGGTACTGGGGGGGGGGTGCCTGGGGCGGTTTTGTAGTTGGGTTTGGCGCGCGCTTGTTGGCGTTGTGGTTAGATGGAAGAGGGAAGTGGATGCGATTAGATGTTGAATGAGAGAGTTATCACTTTAATTATTTGTATCTGTTTGGCGCATTGCATATCAGATTATTTTTCTAAGAAAAGAATGGCAGGCCATATCCACACCTGCTGGAATCAGGTGTCTAAAAAAAGACTCTGCAGTCAGAGGAAGGATTCGAGCAAGCAGCCTGTACTAAAAATCCATATATCCTTGACCTGCATAAGAGAAGAAATTTGCATTTTCCTTCTCCGAAGTTATTTTTTCGACATGCAACATAGCTCCAGGAATAATAAGTTTGAATTGCACGCGCCGTTGAAATTTTTGTTCCAATAATGTTCCATTTGTTGAACGGCATTGCTCGCACTGGTCGTGAAATGGGGACGGTGTCTGGCGATTAGAGCAATCATCGCAATGCCAACTCTTATGATGTAGGTTTACTGTACCATTGTAGCCCCATAAGAAACCATTGTCGTATCTGTCTTTGAATGAAGATAGTTGAGATGAATATGTAGACAAACACCATCTGATAGAATGATGTCCAGGACCCATATTTCCTAGCTCATCCGCAACATTTTCATTGGCGATGTCATCCATGCATGACGGATGGAAGTTCAGACTCTTGTCAAATTGCTTCTCAAGTATATTTCGTTGTTGCTTCCCGTATCGTTCCGGTGCAATTCTGTGCCTCCAAGTTGTGTCGGATGAAGTCAGTGTAAACAGAGAAAGACTCAATTGTGAATCTTGTCCGCAAATAAACCAATCATCGGCTACAGTTACGATTGCGGGCTTGAGATATAGATCTACGCAGCCTGTAGGGTTGTGACCGGATATGGGATTATCCGCATACGGGACGGCAGCACTTGATGGGGATTGCAACCTGAAGCCTAGGGGTACCTTGGGAAGGTCTATAATTTTAATTAAATTCTGTATTAGCAGTTGCCGTATACACTGACCTTGTAAGTTGTTCAGATGACTGTTGTATCTTGAGAGGCGTCGATTGATTTCCCTCGCAACCCGTTCCTCGTTAAGAAGCGCACCGTTAAATATGACAAGAGTCTTTTTGCCATGCTGTGCCCTCGCATGTACATGTAAGAGAATAACAATCCACTCTCGATCTGTAATCTTCTTCCGAATATTCCAAGACCGCAAACGGGCTTCATACTGCGGCTTGCTAAAGAGTGATCAGTCTCAGCCTTGCATAGCGTAGCGACATAATAGCTTACGTGGCACGGAAGCCATGGACTTTGGACATCACCTGTATCACGCCTTCAGGCCCTTCGAGTTTGCGATTCTGAAGGATGAAGAGGCGGTTGATGGTCTCGCGGTGTTGTTCCCAAGTTGCGTTGGCGATTCTGTCGGCAAGGACTCTTGACGTTTGCTTCGTCATCGCGGGTGGCTAGTGGACTTGTTCAAAACAAAATAAGATGTGCGAGTATGCAATTACAGAGGGAGGAAGTATAGCACAGAGATTGATAAAGAGGATGTTCAGTCGCAGCGTACACCACATCCGGACGAGGTGGATATATTAGAGGTCCCCACCAAAGCCGCCAAGTTGACCAATCATGCGGAACCTAAGTTTGGAGGTCCAAGTAACACAAGTTCGCAGTTCTACCCCCTGCATCGAGTGCTTGCATCTCTAACCAATCAAGCAAAACCTGAGTTCAAATTAGGCCAACCAGCTCTTTCGCCTCGAGTTTAGGTAGAGCCACCGGCCAATCAAGCAAAACCTGAGTTGTGCCAGCTACGTCCAAGCCTCAATGATGCGCATCACCGGAAGCTCAGCACAATGAGGTACCTATCCAATGATGCGAATCCTGACTTGCGAGCTGGCCTTGTCACCGCCGGTGGTTGACATTAAGTTGTCTCCTACAACTGTCCGAATCATCATTTTTGCACTCAACATGGCCTCTTCATGGACTGCCGAAGCCATCATCGCGTTCATCACCCTTCTTGCAACTTGCATCTCCCTTGGTTTTATGATACGTCAGATGATACGAGGAAAGCGTACAAGGACTGACTACGAATTCGGTAAGACATCTACACAAAGACATTACAAGGCCAAACTTACAAGACCTCGCAGACTTGGAAGGACGCGGCGAAATTGCTCTTGAGAGGCGCAACACGTTATGATCATCTCCTGCTGGATTTGGAATTTCGCACGAAGACTTACGAAGACTCTTTGGGTCGGAGTTTCCCTCTTGATGAACGGCAATGCTATATAATCGAATAAAGGGTAGAAGAAGTAGGAAAGAAAAATCAACAAGGGGATTGAGCCAATGTATTTTTCATATGGAGAGTCTCGTATGTAACGGTGGTCGCGGTCCTCCCATGACAAGGAGATTGGACAGAGTAAAAAGGATAGAAATTGTGCAGGAAGTTTGCCATATCTGTATCAAACCTATGCCACATACACAGTACGTTGTGTTGTGGTTGTGTATTCGTGCAAGGTGCCCATTCTACTCGCTGTGTACGGAAGCGCATGTCAAAGGTCTGTCAAACCCTAATCTCGACGCTTTGGTGCTCCTCCTCTTGTTACAAAGTTCCTGTTTTGAAATTTATCGGAAGTTAGTGATTGTTGTTGATCATTCCTTCTCTTGATAACAGCTCCTGGTCTTGATACATGTTGAATGACGGATACTGAAGAGTATCGGACATCGGACGTCGACTGAAGTAAGATCAGACGGAGGCTGGTAGTAATCTCCGACCTATTCTTCGAACACACAAACATATCTTCTCTTTAAACTTCTGTGGTCAGCAAATCAGCCCATCTCCAAATAGCATACACCGGCGCTATGATTGTGGCGTTAAAGTCATTCCTTGTTGGAAAGTCTGGAGGGTCTTAACAAAGGCAGAATGCCAGAAGAACAAGCTAACGAGAAAGCTTGGGATGGCACCGAAGATGAAGAATGTGCGACTGAGGACAAGAGCTGAATGTCAGAGGACTAGCATTGCGCTGTTTCCGAAGACATACCCTCTGCACCCAGTACGCTATTCCCATACAAGGCAGGATAGAGGTTGTATTTTCGCAATAGCCTTCGGATTCTCATTCGAGCCCCAACAACTCGGTTGCATGACTCGGATGCACTTGGGGCTCACCTGCATGCATTTGGGCTCTCCGCATTCACTTGCCCCAGGTACGATATTGAAAGCCGAAAATTACCCAGGTGGAGATGCCGCGCCCACTCGGTCGGCTACTTGCGGCGAGATATGCCCTGATCAAATAGCGCCCGAGCCCTATTTCTATCGAGCTTAGCAGCAGCCAGCTAAGCTGGCGCCGCCCTCAAAATCCAGGCGTGCAGCCCAGCACCTTGAAAGTGGACAGCGTTGATTGGTGTCGCCCACGAACGACATTATCTGATTGGCGTTGGGCGTCCCGGCTACTACCCCACTTTCTATGAGCCGGTAGTAATCTAATCAGGTGTAGTGAGCTGGTTCGCATTCGAGCACGAGGGCAGTATGACGATCCTCCGAGCGCCCAGGCTTTGGATGCTCCGATAAACCTCCCGCCGACATGGGTTGTATCGGCGTGTGCGGTTTAGTGCAACAACGTCATTGATGGCTGATATGGCCGAGGGCGGGAGGCTACGCAAACGGTATGCACAGAAGAATATTGGAAGACGGCTAGAAGAGGGCATCGAACTGCTGTCAGCCCTTACATTCGGGTCTCTAGCATGCAGATCTCGTGAGCCTCGTGGCGAAGGCGACCGCTTTAACCATCTCCAATCCTAGCTGCCGTATGGTGCAGTGAGCAGGAAGGATGAACCCTCAGGCGGCATGCCAGAACACCGGGAGTAAATCAGACTATAGTTCCAGCAATCTTCGCCGGCTTTCGGAGTGACGACAATTGCAACCGTGCATGAAGCCTTGCGTGATGCTCCTCCTTTGGTGCATGGCGAATGCCTTGAATCAACAACAATGCAAGCCACAACTCGTCTGATTCGACAAAATATTCGCCTATGGCTGTGGAGGCTCCCCAGGATCGTGTGAGGTGGAGTAGATCTTGTGTAAATTCGCGCATGTTGGGACAAACTTCCATACGCGCTTCAGTTCAACCCAGCGATGTTGCTGAGCCGTCGAAATACGCGGCTACGCGGCAATGGCTTACTGAATTTAAGCTCCAGACCCTAGGAGAACATCCTGGACAGTTGCAAGACCCTCAACATTGCCCGATGTGTAAGAGCCGAATGCGCCAAGGGCCCAGAGGCTACCGGCTGCACGCCAACGCTAGACAAGCCATGTCGTGGAGTCTCTAGCTGGGTCATGGCGCAGCACAAAACTTCTAGTAGTTTTTCTCGTTTGCTAATTGGCTTTTCAAGCTTCCATTGCTATTACTTGCAGCAATATTTTATCTCCTCTGCGGGCGAACCCCGCGCGTCACGTAGAGGGTAGGGATCAGCAGCAGGGTGCGGACAAGACACCTGCTTAATGTTAGTAAAGAGCGTCGCTAGAGCTTCAGATAGAGGGGTCGACTCCACAGTTGTGTGTCCCAATTTTTTTTAACGCTGGGGGCTCTCCATGGGGTTGGCAACGTGGAGAGAGCTATTGAGCCCCATACGGAGAAGAAATGTCTGATCAATGATGCGGCTCAAGAATAAGTGGAGCTCACCCACACAAGCTCTGCTAGCGCCGCCCGTTAACGCGCACGATTGGCTGGCACTCTACATCATCCGACATCAATCGGCAGCACTTTCGGAGGGATGGCGCGGGCCTTAACAGCCATCCAACCTACCACAACCTCCATCCGATGAAAATTTGCGGAGACTGGGGGGCGTTAGTATACGGGGCAAATGCATTAGCAGCAGGGCATTAGAACAGAACTAGGGCCTGGTTTACCCCAACACCCAGGTTGCTACCCCCTAAGGCCAGCGTCGAACTACCGATGGACTAGCGGGGGAACTAACAAGTCTGGATGGCACCAGCCCCATGTCGCGACCTCAACCGCTCCGTGGCATAGAGCGCAATGTGCAGTATATATATTCGAATGCCGAATCCCCCTTGAATAGGAAATCATCATCATCAGATCTTGTGTCTTCAACTCTCGACCCATCCATCTCGGGATCCGCCTTGCCTGTGTGTGGGAACCCACCTCAGACTGTCAATCTTTGACTTTTGTATCCTTGACTCTATTTTTTCCCCTCCGCAATCATGGGTCTCTTTGGCAAGAAGGACGCTCAGGAGCCTGACACTCAGGTTGCTGAAGTGCGCCGCGGATCAGTTGACAACCGTGCTCTCACTGGAGCATCGGCCCTCACTGCTCGTCAATCCATCCTCCCCGTCACCTTGGTCACTTCGCTCTTCTTCTGCTGGGGGTAAGCAACAATTGACATGCCGCTTTTTATGTTAGACATACGAATTAACATTTTTGCCCAGTTTCGCATACGGACTCCTCGACGTTTTGAACTCTCGCTTCCAAGTCGCTCTCAACATCTCCCAGGGAGAATCTTCTGGACTCCAGGCCGCATACTTTGGAGCCTACTTCATCGGTCCTCTGACCTACTCTGGATGGTTCCTTCGCAAGTTCGGCTACCGATGGACCTTCATCCTCGGTCTCAGCATTTACTGCGTTGGTGCGCTCATGTTCTGGCCTGCGGCCGTGAAGCGATCATTCGGTGGTTTCTGCGGAGCCATGTTCATTGCCGGATCTGGTCTGTCGACTCTTGAAGTCAGCGCCAACCCATACATTGCCGTCTGCGGTCCCCCCAAGTGGTCCGAGTTCCGTCTTGAGCTGTCTCAGTCCGTCCAGGCTGTTGGCTCCGTCGTTGCGCCCGTCCTCGCTGCCCAGGTCATCTTCAAGAACGTCGGAGAGGATGGAAAGTCCCTCGAGGCTGTACAATACGTGTACCTTGCCATCGCCGTCTTCGTTGCCATCCTCGCCCTTGTCTTCTTCTTCGCTGGAAAGTACATTCCCGAGGTCACGGACAGCGACATGGCCGAGCAGGAAGCGACCACCGTCAGCAACGGCTACGTCGACAAGCCGCTCAGCAAGCAGTACACTCTTTTCTGGGGAACCTTTGCACAGTTCTCGTACGTTGCTGGCCAAGTCGGATGCGCAGCCTACTACATCAACTACTTTGCTGAGGCGTCGCCCCAACTGAGCATCACCGAGGGCCACCACAAGGGCGCCAACTTCTACGCCATTGCCCAATCTCTCTTCGCCATCGGTCGCTTCGCCGCCGCCGGTATCATGTACTTTGGCGGTAAGCCCCGTTACGTGCTCCTCGCCTTCCAGACCTTCATCATGATCTTCATCTCCGCCGCCATTGGCACCAACACGGGCAGCGCCACCACCACCAACTGGGGCGGTATCAGCATGCTCAACATCGTCCTCTTCTTCGAGTCCTGCATCTTCCCCATCATCTTCGCCCTCACCCTCCGTGGTCTCGGTCGCCACACCAAGCGCGGTGCCTCCTTCCTCGTCTCCTCCGTCTGCGGTGGCGCCGTCGGCCCGGTCGTCCTTGGAAACGTCGCCGATCTCATCGGAACCCGAAAGGCCATGTGTGTCCCGCTTGCCTTCTTCGCCATCGCCTGGTCCTACCCGCTGTACCTCAACATTGCCAAGGGCAAGGAGCTCGATGCTTACACCGAGTCCCACGTCGGTACCGAGCAGGCTGCTCACGATACCGACTCCATTTCTGTTGAGAAGGACCTTGAGGCCCGCACTTTTGAGACCAAGGCTTAAAGTGGTGGAATAATAGGATAGAGGCTTTTGTAAAGCCTTTTGCTGTTTTGAGATTTTGTTTTTTTCCCTTCTTGTTTCTAAAACTTAGACGATACCTATGAGAATTGATGATTATGATGAGCCCGGCGTTTCTGCTGGCATAATTTTGAGTTTCCATCTGACTGTGTTTTGCTCCATAGATGTCGATATGTGTATATATCATTTCACTCAATATCCGAGACCCTCCATCTTCAACCTATTATGAAAAATGTAATCTTTCAGTCGGGTGGTGTGACGAAAAAGCACAGTTACAGACAGGTTTTCTTGCTCGATAAAGGGATTTTAGCTAGTGAAAGACATGCCAAATAATACATCATTACGTATGCCTGTCAAATATGCTGGAAATTGAAATTCCTTGCATGTATGCGTGTACTCCTTCCTACCTTAAGTCTGGAAGTAACGAAGGATCCAAGGCGTCCCTCCCAACAACGACATCGAACCCGGCCTCATCAACCATCACCCAGAACGCCGCACTGACTCGCCTTGCCAGAAGCGCTTCCAGCACTTCATCGGAGAACGTCGGTCCCATCAATAGCTCCAAGGTTCGGAACTCCGGCCACCGGGAGTGGCTCTTCTGCTCGCTGAATAATCCCTGTAGCCATTTGCTGTCCAAGAACGTCTCATTGAGATCGAAAATCATGAGATGCTGTAGTGACACTGGTAATACCAGCGAAGCAGAGAGCTCAAAGTCGCCTTGGGAGACGGTGTCAACCCGCATGTTATCCAGTTTAATGGAGACAAGGGCTGCTTGAGGCACAATCAATTTTCGAAGCTGTGTGAACTGATCGAAACGCGGAATCGGCTTGCGAGCCGCTCCAGGTAGCGTCCAAAAGCCGCCTGGAAGTTGCAAGTGTTTCAGAGACGGGCGTAGGTGCACGAGGTTGTCCACAAGGCATTGGTAGTCGGTGACAGTTGTGCGTGCCTCGTAGATCGCTTGGTCTTTGTGGTGGTTAGCAGTGTTGATTAATTCAGGAGAGAAGTGGCGTACCCCAGTAACCTTCGACCAATTCTGGAGACGATGAAACATCAGGATATATTTGGATGTTCGCTTGATAATCGGGGAAACTGCGAACACTACGATAAGGATTCTTCGCTACCGACGCTTCGGCATAGTATATGAGACTCTCCAGATTCTGGAAGCCTTTCACCACATTCGACATACAGGTTCGCCTCGCACTATTCCACATTCCGATTGTTCTGACTTCGAAATTAAGATGCAGATGCTTTATTTTTTTCACCGCGGTATTCGCAAGGTATTTTTCTGAGGCTGATACAATATCCAACGGTGACTGGCCGCAAAGTGCGATGCTCAAATCAACGGTATTCAGCTTTTGAAAGACCTCCACTGGTTGAATGGCGGGAGGTAGTACACTTTCAATCTTAAGGTATCTCAGCGAGCGGATAATTGGGGGAGTGAAGGGCGAGACTGAGAGCTGTTCTGCCCATTCGAGTTTTGGTTCGTCGGTTGGTTCGGAGACGCACAATACATCCAACACTACTAATGCCAATAGGACATTAAATGATCCTCGTCCAAAGCTAGTTGTCATGTCGTGGAAAAGCTTGATCTTCCAAGCAGAGGGTATACACAGTGAAGCTAGCATTGGGGCCATTCCCTTATTGTCGCAACGATACCTGTCGTGCTCATCGGTATATGGAAGATGGATACGAAGTTGTTTGATGTGCCGAATGAGATCCGGCTTCGCCTTCAATTGAAGAAGGAGAGCGAATGGAGCTGACCAACAAAGTTGAGGGCGCTCAGGCTGCACAAATGGTGCAACGGCTTCCAGTACGATCACATGTAATACTGCCTCTGGAATTAAAGCTGCAAATCGTTTGCATGTCAAAGCGATGTTTAGCAGCCAGGAGTTGTGGAGGCGAAAATCTTTAAGCACTTGATAATCTGGGCAAGAAGGCAAGGGCTCATCAGGTATGTAGCCCAGAATACGTGCCTCGCGATGCAGATCTACGCATGAGAAGACTTGTAACAATATTTCATTTGGCAGATCACAAAGCGACTTCATGCTGCGGCCTAGGATGCCACGTTAGCCGGTGAATGCCGTAGGACTGTCCTGGAAGTACTCACTTTCGGACACGTGTGTCGAAATGTGGTTTTCCATGACGTGATTTGGGGATTGTTAGATCTCGGGAATCATGGATGATGGCAGTTGATAGAAACAGATGTCGAGATGCATATGTGGAGCGGAGATAACAGCTAGGACTAGCACCCAAAAGGGTTAGTTTTGATCTTAATACCAATGGGAAGATGCTGGCTGGTGAAAATGAGCCTGCAGTACAGATGGATCATTTTTCAATTTCAGTTATGTACAACTAGCCTTTTGTGATCCAAGAAACCATGAATTTGATATGTTGGATGGATTTCAGGAGCAAACTGTCCCCGTGCAAGCAGCCGAGGGAGTAATGTGAAGAAACATTCAGCGAAGATGCTAGACACAGTACGACCTATTGCATACAATTTAAATCGATCACTAGGTATGAGCACGTCAAGGTTGATTCAGCATCAGCAGTGTGCGTGCGCTATGGCGCCATAAACTATATTTCACAACCACGTCAACGTCCCAAACTATAGTATCACCGAATATAATAATATATACAACTCAAACCTCACCACATCCTTTTTCGAGAAAGGAACAAAAAAAAAGAAGCTATATACAAACACAACACCCTCTCACACTTAAATCTTCTGCATCTCAAAACTCTTGGCCGTAACACTCCCGCCCACCGCAGACGTCGCAAAGTTAAAAACACCATACCTGTACCCAGCGAAAAACTGCCACGTATTCGCGAGCCCAAACGACGGTCCCAGCTGCTTATACGAAGTACCATCAGTACTGTACCAAAATGTCGCCTGGCGCTGCGTATTCGTTCCAAACGCGGGGGTAATATCCGCCTGGATCCTCAGATACAAGTCTGTGGAACCAGCAGGGATGGCGGGACCCGTAGCTGCCACCTTGCCGGTGGATTTGGTGGTGCGGTCGGCGTTGAGTTCGAGGCCGTTGACCATAACGAGGGAGGCCGTAGAGCCTGATTTGTGGATGCCGATGTAGGCGGCTGTGTCGCGGAAGAGGACGACACCCGCGCGGTCGCCGTTGGCCATCTTGCTGATGTCGAGGCGGAAGGTGCCGGAGGACTTGGGGCCGATGATGCGGTGGGTAAGGGTGTTGCGGGCGCCGTAGAGGTCGTTTGTTACGGTTGCGGTGGAGAGTTTGAGGCCGCCTGCGCCGCCGAGGAGGCTGAACTTGGAGGTGTCGGGGTTGTGGTTCCATTCCCATTCTGCGCTTAGAGAGGAGCCGGTGAATTTGTCGATGCCGGTGAGCGGGGGGACGGTCTTGCTGGTTGTCACCGGGGTGGGGTAGGAGGCGCCCCAGGCGTTGTTTACTTTAACGACTGAAGGCCACCCGTTGCTGTCGAAGGTGAGGGGTGCAACGACGGGGATGCGACCCGCGGGGTACGAGTCGAGGAAGGCGACGTAGTACCATTTTCCGTCTTTGGTGTCGACGACGCCGCCTTGGTGGGCGTGGCCGGCGTTGGAGAGGGGGCCGGAGATGCTGTCGACGAGGATGCGGGCTTCGAAGGGGCCCCAGGGGCTCTTGGATTTCAGGACCCATTCGTCGTCGGCGGGCTTAGTCGAGAAGATGTAGTACATGCCGTTGATCTTGTACATGCGAGAGCCCTCGAGAGTAAGGCCATTGGGATCGCGGTACACCTCTTGGTTCCTCACTTCGGCTGTGCCGTCTTTGTTGAGTTGGGCGACTCGAACGGCAGGGTTGCCGTGTACGACGTACATGGTGTCATCGTCATCGATGAAGATGCCGTTGTCGTAGTAGCATTTGTTAATGCTACCCGCGGCAGTCCAGTTCCAGCTCGATACCTCGCCATTGTTGGCAGCGGCATTTTGACCGGGGGCCGTCCAGATATATGTCTGGCCTGTTGATTGAACGCAGCCCATCCAAATGAACTTGTCGCTCGACTTGCGGTACCGCAGCGAACTCGCCCAGATACCCTTAACGTAGGACCGAGTAGTTGGGTTTGGCATGTCATATGGAGAGCCGAAGTTCAGTCTTGGTACGCTGTGAGTGACGGGCGTCCAGTTCACCAGGTCGTATGACTTGAGCACCTGCACAAAGTTAACGACATGATTTAAAACTTGCTAGAACTCAATGCCTACGGGAGCTCCTGGACTGAACGCAAAGGTTGACGACGAGTAATAGAACACATCCCCGATCCTGAAAACGTCAAGATCAGGATAGTCTTGGTATATAACAGGGTTGTTAAACGTCGTCGCGCGGCTCGACAGCGCACGCTTGTCCGACACAGGGCCCGCAACAGACAAGCCCGCCAAGAGCAACGACAACGAAGAAACGGTAGAAACGCGCATGGTGTCTGGAAAGTCGAGAAAAGCAATCCACTCGTCTGGTCGAAAGCAAATCAACAAACAGGACCTGGCGCCAACTTTATCCAAGTACAAAGTAAACCCCGTTTCTTGCTTCCAAATTTCTCCACATGGCATATTTAGTGCTAAAGTAGCACTATGTAATCGGTGCCGCATGCACGCACTGCCACCAGATCTAAACTCCCGAAATCAAAATATTAAAAAAGCACGGGACGTCACGCTTGTCTCCACGTATGGGGTTCAACGCCCGAGTCTGCGCACGCTCGGTATTGGTGCAGTGCGGCCCTGAATTCTTCCGTAGCGCGGAATAAGCAACAATTTAATGGGGCTCTTTGCTGTTTGCTTTCATTACCGCCGGCTATGGTAGACCCGCCATCATTCATTCATCATCCGTGGAGGGAGGGGAGGGGGGGCGCTATGCAGATCAGATAGATTTGCTTAGAAAAGATCCGTGGGCCGTCGCCACCGCCGTCGCCTTGTCATGCGGGGTTGAAACAAGGAGTCGAGAGCAATGAATAAGCTTGTCCGCTCGGACGTCTACCGCCAATCACAGCCTTGGCCTTCATCGTGTCAACGAACATCTCCCCTTCCCGTGCGGTCCCCTTGCTCCGACTGTGCAATTTCAATGTTTCAATCTTTCTCTAGCTTCGAATACACTTTGGTGCGCTCACGCTTTGCGCAAGAGAAATAAATGATTGTGGCTTATCGCAAGAATTTGCTTGCGCCTTTTTTGTTCCTCGTTGGGATACTCTGTTTCAGTTTCATTGGGTTCATGCGGTGCTGGTTCATCTCGTGAACGTGCGCAAGGTGTTTTGCGAACGATTGTATGGCCGTCATGCAACGAAGCAGTTGATGCCAAGTACAAAGAAAGCTTAATCAAGTACAGGCGCAGCATGCCCACATGGCAGGTCCTAGCAGGATGCATGCATGTGTATAAAAGACAGCAGATTGACTTGTCAGTGTTCGGGTGACATCTCGTCTGACGTCGAAGCTTCTTAGCAACATACTTAAGCATATGTCTATTCTCACGCTAAGAAATGTCAGCTGTTTCATAACACATTGATCATTAGGACCGTTTTCTGTTCTAACTTTATTTCTCTAGTTAGCGTTGAGACGCTTAGGCTCGTTAGGGCGATTGGTACGAGGATTTATCCGGACTCGAACTCCAAAGAGAGAGAAAAGGCATGAAGCGACGGGTGCAGGCTCTAGAATTCAGTATTATCCGACTCCGTCACGTTGTTGCGATTCTCTATCGGACCCCTGGAAACGGCTCGGACGGCAATTGCAGTAGAGGCTTAAAGCCGCGGCGTTATCTCGCTATAATACTATCAACTAGACTCGTCTGGAAGCCCGGCAAATCACCTTAGATTAGCTGAAACGAAACGCGGCTTGGAATCCCAGGACAACATCTGCTGGATGTTCAGTTGCGCTTGTACCGGAGTGACATACACGCGTAACATCCATGGTCCACGGCCCCCTTAAACCTTTGGAAGAATCTTCTTCAACACCTCGACTAGCCCTTTGATCTCTTCCTCAGTATTATAATGTACCATACTGACTCTCGTAACATAACCTTCTGGGTCTATCTCGAGGATCTCATCGCACAATCTCTTCGAGTAAAAGTGTCCCCATCGAAAGCCGTAGTTGCTGATTTTTTCGGCTTCATCCACAACTTGCTTACTGTTCATACCTTTGACTACGAACGAAATAGTTGGAACCCTGATTTCACTGTCCGTTGATGTTGAGCCCAGAACCGTGATATCAGGGCGCGAATTGAGGAAGTCGAGGAGGATGGTTTGCAGTTTTCCCTCGTGTTCTGTAATGGCAGGGAAGGCGCCAGAAAGGTACGACGTGATTTGTGGAATGGACTGAACACATTCGTAGTTTGACCCAGCAAACCCAATCTTATCCTCAAGCGTCTTGGTGGGATTGAAGTAGTGTGCCATGGGTTTCATGGCCTTTTGTCCCGACTCGCTAGCGTAAAGTACGGCGATGTGAGGGCCGTAGACCTAAGGCTCTCATTAGCACATGCCGGTGAGGCAAAAGGTTGAAGAAGGACTGATGACCACGACATACCTTGTACCAGCTGAACGCATAAAAGTCTACCCCAAAAGCCTTCACGTCAACCGCGCGGTGCGGCGCATAACTTACGCCATCCACGCAGAACAAAGCACCGACCTCATGTACCGCATCTGCAATCGACTTGACATCATGTATCGTACCCAAAATATTGCTTACATGGGTGCAAGCAACAAACTTCACCTTGTCGCTCAGGAGTGGCTTCAAGTTCTCTGCTGTGAGCTTGAGTCCATCTTCCTTGCTAGACGCCCACCACTTCACAGTAAGCCCAAGACGTTCGGCCATGAAAAGCCACGCCTTTACATTGGTCTCATGCTCCATCTTTGATAGAATGATTTCCGATCCAGCAGGAAACTGTAGCGTAGAGCCAAGATTGACAAACAATTGAGTGGTAGATGAGCCGAGGACTTTTGACAATTAGAGAATGAATGCGCACACGACATCAGGAGTGTTACCTATTTCATCGCGGCCGGCATTGATGTAATTTGCAGCAGCCTGGTAGCCTTCCTCATACTTCGTGTTGGACTGTGTGCCGGTGTGGTATGAAGCACCAAGCTGCACATTGGTCTTGCTGAGATACTGTGATATGCTTCATAGGACTTAGTTAATGTGCTGCTTCTAGATATGCGGTATACTCACGAATCAATCACTTGGTCCAGCGCCTGACTGCCCCCTGCGTTATCAAGAAAAACTTGGTCTTGCTGAAGAGCCGGGAAGCGCGACCGCGCTTTGGAAATGTCGAAAGTCATTGTGAAAAGGCTGGTAGCACAGAAAAACAAAAGGCTGAAGAAACCGGGAAGGAAGTTTAAAAAGAAGTTTGAAATTTGAAGTAAAACTAGAGTATACCTATACTAGCCGCGCGCCCTACGTAGATAATGCGGGGCTTTCCTCAATGAAGCAGGTGCTACGTTACGCAGTGCCACCAACTGCCCCGCGTAGCTTGAAAACATTCACGAGATGTATCTCGGCAACCACATAATATGCAGTGAAATATCGTATCCTAGGATTAGAAGATGCAGCATATACAGTACGCTACCTAGGCGGTACATCTATGAGTTTCTCAATTAGCCGAGATGAAGGAGTAAAAGCCAATCGATGTTTCCCCGCTATCCTGTATCCCACGGCGATGCCGATGGATTCTTAAAGCAGGACGATCCGTCTAAGTTTCCGAATACCTGGCCGCGTATTATGAGCAAAATTATTGGGCCATGATCCACATATGTTGTAGGTGGAGTTGCTGGCAGGTAGAAGTATCCCAATAGTGAATACCCGCTTGACATCAGCTCAAAGACACAAAGAGAAGAAGAAGAGCTATTCTACTTCTCCCTGGTTCAATTACCAGAAATCAGTAGAGACGTTTCGACAGCATTGGTTGCTGAGGGTTCATAATGCATTAGATGTATTAAATACTGACCGAGTGACCCAGAAGTCAAAAAAGGGGGGAGTTTGGGAGATCTACTGATATCCAGACGGGGGAACTGTCAAATGAAACTGTTCAATCTCTCTCTCTGTCTTTTCGCGAGAAAACATTGGTTTCTTGTCGCTGCCCCAAGGCAAAACGTATTTAAAGTTAATGGAAAGTAACCCCCAGGGGGGGGCTTACATGTTGCGAATCGGCCCGTACCTCAACGTGACTGCTGAACCCCGCTACAATTCGCCGTTTTCAATAAGATGAAGAATATTTTAGGTTAGGAAATGTGCCTTTTTGTAGATATTCTTGTCTTCTCTCTTGTCTTTCCAGACGAGAAGAGTGGGAAGATAGAAGGACCTTGTTTGAAGAAGAGGGAGGAGTTTTCCAGGTGTATATATGTATATATATATATATATATATATATTATGCGAATTCGATATGGAAGGCATACACTGTTGATCGGTTCCCAAGGAATATGGGCTAAACGGCACTCTGTTTACCCCCGTATCGCGACATTATAATTGAGCACATTACGTTTCCCCCAGCAAGGAACACTAGCGCACTCAGGAATTCCCTCTCCGTTTTCGAAGTCTCACCGTCGGCATCCAGACGCGAGAGTTCTCTTGCCATTTTGCGTTCCACTTCCATCTGGATAGCCAGTGTGGCAAATTTGGCAGCTTCGTCGTTGTCAAGAGAACACATCTTGCGGACCTCCTCTACTGTATTCAACAGGTATTGTGCCTTGCCGTTAGCATAGGCTCTTTTCTCCCTTTCGAAAGAAGCAAGGTCATTTGCAATCGACATGTGATCGGCGTAGAGCCGAATGAATCTGGTGAGGCGGGGGCTGGCAGTGTCGAAAGTTGAGCCAAGGGAAAACTTCGTGCATGCTACAATGTAACTAGAAGCTATGATTTAGATATTTCCTTCCTTGTAGTGTATGTGGAGATGTCGGTAGCTACTTACGAGGTGGCTACATCGATTACCCTATAATCGAGGGATACTCGTAAATCGCCGAACGTAGCAGGTGACGGAGGGTGATTGATGAGCTCTTGCAAACCCGCAGCTACCTCTGCTCCTCCGTTGCCAACCATGCTGTCTTCATCGTAAATACCCTTAAAAGTGATTGTCATGGCCTTTTGCAGGGCCGATACAGATTCATCCTCTCTGTCGGGCATGCGAGCTTCGAGGCTCGATACGAATTCAGTTTCGAATGCTTGCATCTACCGTTCTGCTGTTTAAGTATATAAGGCTTCTCCCAAAAGTTGTCTCAATCACCTACTGTGCCAAGGCGACACGGGTCGGCGGGGAAGATGGCACGCACAGTATTTTGCAGAACCGCCCCAGCCCTTTGCGCCAGCCACAGTTCTGTAAAGTCTATATCAGCTTGTGATATAATTCACTAGCCTCACCCAATGGTAGATTATGAAAGCCCACCAAGTCAATTGGGATGCATCGTTCCCATGTTTGCTGAATGGTGAGAGATGGGTTGAGATTGGAGTGACTTACATCAAGCAGCCACTGACGTAGCTGTATGCATTATCATGCAGGAATGGCGTAGCAGTCTTGGTCTTAGACCCTGTTGTTCTGCTATTGCTCGGAAGAATCCTTTATGTTAAAGAGTGCAAATCTCTTCCCCTTTGTAAAACTGTTGAGAACCCGAGTACAGTACCCACCCTCATCTTTGGGAAAATGCCTAGAAGATCAATATTCTACGCTTGCTTTCTTTTTTTTCTTTTGTTTATTGCGACTGGAATATTTGAAGAGTGAGTTGTAAGGAAGCTTACTTGAGTGTCCCTTGGCTGGGGATTTCGAAGTATCTTTTGTATCTGCCTTTTAGACATGGATGGTATAACCCAACACGAGATCGTGACAAGTACACAATAACCAGTCAAGCTGCAGCATCTACAGCCGGATCTTGTGGTTTTTCGAGTAAAAGTTAGATCAGCTAGCGTGCATCGATGCTCGTCCCCCGATATTGTTGTCTGCATTGCTTGTATATGCAGTTCCCTGGCTTCTGCAAACTACCTGTCAATATATACGTATGTCACACACTTTTTCGCGAGAAGTGACACCACTTGTTGTAACAGCAGTGGAATTTGTTCGTTTCTATTATTGTCATGTTGTGATTCTATCGTCTTGGGTATATTCGTGGTGAATTGAATAGTCCAGGTATCACTTGAGCCTTCTCCGTACTCTTTTGTTTCTTGTCAAGGAATGAATTGCTCTTGTTTCTCATGGCGTTAGTCCATTGTTTGTATTGTTAGTAGATGTAGGAAGAATGATGATGACAGATAGGCTTGCCCCTGGTAACAATCTGAGTGGGACAGAGACTACACTGAGTCTGATTAGTCACGTCTGTATGCTTAGTAAGGACAAGAAAAGAAAGAAAGGAAAGAGGAGAAGACGTGACTGAGAACTCATATATTAGACTGCCAAGATGTGCAGCTTGCCCATTTAAGAAGATGCAAAGAATCACTCACTACCCTTCTCAACACGTGCAAGCCCTTGGTGTTAGTGCGAATCTTCCCGCTCCAGGGCTTGAAAAGAAAAGGCTAAGCGAGAGAGATAGTAGCGTATCTCGGGTGGGCGACAGGGCTGAGTGCCCAACTGGGTGATAGGTATACATGTGTATGCCATGACTCCAAGGCAAGGTTGCGGCTGCCGCGTGGCGGCTCTGGCAAACAACGCCACTAGTGTAGTCCCCATGGAGTGGTAATAGTGATACTGCCATGTACAGAGCCCGATTCGGGTTCAAGAGTATGTAGCCAAGTGGCACTGGGTGGGTTGAACAACAATGAGTCAATGACAGCGTGCAGGTCATGCGACCTTTGTCCACACTTGACCACGGACTAGGGAGTCCCAAGATGTTGTTGCGACATGGCCCGAGACACGGAGCTTTGTATCGTCACTTGCAGACAACCATGGTGGTGGAGTAAGTAAGGCCGAGAGAGTCGGTCATTTTTCTTCTGCCGCCGTGTCGCGTGGTAGCTGTAGGTGAGGTAGGCAAAAAACAAGAGGTAGGTGTAGAGATTTCGGGCTCAATAGGCGCCCAGGTGGGGCTTGCTTGGGCATCCCGAGCCGCAAATCTGTAGCCGACAAGGCCACTTGGTGGGTCGGTAGGGCAGCCATGAGCCGCAAGTTCGTGGAGCCGCGGCCCAATGGGGATGGTTTTGGGCAGCGAAGGATGCCGATACTGAGACAACAGAGGGCAGCTGGTGGATAGAAATGTGAGTCACATCTTAGCGGGCCGCACAGGTATAGAGTGGAATGGCAGCCAGACATGCTGAACCTGCATAGTGCGGTGAAATAAAAGCGGTTGAAATCTTTTTTCGGGAGCGATTGTTTTTTTTCTTTGGGCTACGACGTGATGGAGGGATCCGTGGTGTAGCGGGAGTGACTACTCGACTTACTAGCGAGCGTCCCACGTGTTCCTCCACCCATCCCGCGCTATTCCAACGGCTTGGAACCTGGCAAACACGCAGTCGAACTGGTTGCAACGAAAATGGATTGCGACAAAAGTGTCGCGCAGCAACATGAACCGTTTCGCGCCGTAGTGGCTGTTTGGGAGAACCTGTCATCCGGGTTGCTGGGATTGGAACGAGTCGGGTGCGCAGACGACTGCGAACGCGGTTTGAGAAGCCGTCTGTTCGTCATGCAGAGGCACATGACGTTGTCAAGGTAGTAAGTACAGCAGAGTGGCAGGACGGCGGCCGACGCGCATCTGACACTGACACTGACACTAGCAACAAGACAGAGGGGTGCAGTGTGTATACACATGATAATTTTTATCAATCTATAGAGCATACGTCAATTGCACTGTTTTGCTCGTGGCACAAAGAGTCGCATCATCAGACATGAATGGCGAGGGGGACTGCCAGCGTCCAGTCGTGCACTCTGACGAGGAAAGTGGGCTGTGTGTGACGGTTGGCTGAAAATCTGTTGGGTAGCAGGGTCATGGTACACTAAATGCAGCTAGTAGTGTAGACTGAGCAAACGGATGGACATGGCACTTGCACCCGACCTGCTAGGTAAGTATGCGGTGGTGTGGGAGTGGATGCATTTGGTGAGGGGGAGGGGGACGAGCGAGTGCGCTACTTCAGACTGGCAAATGTCACACAGGTGCGTCAACGGCGACGGGAAGGTGTGTATTCTGGAAGCCGTAGCGGAGTCTTGAGTTGTTGGGGGGTAGAGTAGGATAGTAGTAAGCAGGGTAGGTGTAGAGAGGGAGTCGATGTGCGTCTGTTCACCGGAAGCGTAGTGGGGTAGTGTAATGGTGTCGGCTAGGCGGAGTAAGCGACGCTTGAGCAGCCGCGTGATTCTAGAATGGGCGCGGGCAGTCTTGTCGGCGGACACGAGGCAGGAGCATCAGGGTTGGCAGCCAGACAGACTCGACACCGGACACGGAGAGGTCGAGACGGCCAGAGCAGAGGACACATGTTTCGTGTCGGGTCGTTGAGGGGATTAATGAAGGCCACGGCGCACCATGAGTGCTTTGTTGTTCCTGCATGGCAGAGACGATTGACGTGGCCGAGCCAGGAAAAAAGAGGCTAGCCGGCAATCAACAGAGAGGCTCAATGACGTGAAATGGCGGGTGCAAGGATGACGAAAAGGAATGAAAAAAAAGGATGAAAAAAAAAGAGAGAGTGGCATGCAGCTAGGCGGGTGTGCCCTGCAACCGTTCACCGCAGCAGACTCGACGACGATGGACGATAGACGGTGGACGGTAGATGCAGATGGATGAGGAGGACCAACTAGGAAACGGTGGCCAAGCCGCGGACGGGACGAGAAGAGATCAGCAGGCGGCGAGCAGTTGACGAGGCAGAGGGCAGCGTGTTTGAGGGTGGCGGGCGTGGTTGAGCATGGCGAGGGGTGCAAAGCGGTGAAAGATGGGCGCATGCACCAGCCTGTCTCAGCAGCGAACGGCTCGCAGGCTCGCAGGGCCAGCCAGGGCCGGGCAATGCCGGTTTCAGCTGGCCGTCGACGCCCACTCGAGCTGCTGCATGTTGCGCATCTGAGGCGACCGACGACCGTGCCAGTGATCACCACCAGGGAGCACGGCCACCAGAGCCCCGTCCAGAGTGTCGTCGTCGTCGTCGACGTCGAAGCAAAAAAACTCTACGAGATGCAGTGCAGCACAGCACAGCACAGCACAGCACAGCGCAGCGCGTCGAGCAGGCAAGCATGGCATCGAGTGGACAGCAACCACACTGCAATGCATGTACGGCGGCTTTGCCCAGGCCAGGCGTCGGATGGGCAAGTCGGCCATGCATGCATGCAACGCATCAATCAAGACGACTGGTGTGCAACAGCTTCGCCACCGCGGCCGCCATGGACCCAAGATGTGGGAGAGCCCAACCGATGCAGCGCATGGCATAGGGCAGAATATAGTACGCGCCGTTTTGAAATTTTACGGGCGGGCGGGCGGGGAAAGGTTTCCCTGTTGCTGTGTGTGTGTCGAAGCCCGAATGCGATGCGCGCCTGCATGCCTGCCTGTCACTCAGTCAATCACCCGCGCCCTCTGCCTCTGCCTCTGCCAATCTGCCAATCTGCCACTGCTGTCTGCCCGTCTGCCCGTCTGCCCGTCTGCGCCCGTCTGCGCCCGTCGCCCTGCACACCAGCACCAAGCCCGTCATACTCTGCAGCTTGCTTGTCTCGCATATCCTCAGCCCCCCGTCCTCCACTCCCTGCCCCGTCTTTGTTTTCCCTTTTTTTCCCTCGCCTTGCTACTCACTCCTACCTAACCTTTGCATCTCTGCCGTCATCCATCTCTCTCTCCCCCTCACATCCACCCATCCACCCTCACACCCCTCCACATGTCGCCCGCTGGCCCTGACACGGCCTCGCTCAATCACACACCCCTGCTAACAATGCTCTCTCCACGTCTCGTTTGATTGCCCACCATCGCCCCGCCGCTAGATATTTTTGCCGACTGCTCCCTGCCCTCGACAGCCTGTCCGCCCTGCTCCCAATTCTCACCACCAATTTTTGCAATCTGCTCTCCCTGCCGCCGCTGCTGCTGCTGCTGCCGACATGGCGAGCGCACAGGATCTGCAACCCACCTGCGAGGACTACGATTCCGACCAGAGCGAACAAGGCTACGAGTTCCCAGGCCGCTCCTCGGCCAATGCTGCAAACGTCTCCACCAAGCGCTCCCACCCCGACGACTTGAATAAAGAAAAGCCGCCCCCTCAAGAGCGGGTGCCTACCAACCTCGACCTTCGCTCCGACTCAGGGTACAGCAGCTACACCGCCGCCACCGTGAGCAGCACTAATTCTGCTCAAAGTGCCCCGTCCCAGCGCAGCCCTCCTGCTGCCGCTCCCCCTACCGCCCGTCCAGAGGCACCACGCCCACCACCACCCCAACCTCAGCAACAACCACCCCCGCCGCCCTCGACAAAGACCAGACGGCCTACCCAGTCCCAGTCGGACCAGTCGAGACCCAAGTTGACGACGCGCACCACCTCGCAGTCGTCCAAGCCCCTCGTCAAGCAACGCCGGCCCACAATCACCCAGGACCCGCGCCCCGAACGCTCCGAACGTGAACGCCTCCCCCGTCGTGACAGCAGAGTCGAACCTGAATGCACCGATCCCAAGTGCACCACCTGCGGACCAAACGCCCTTCCTCAACACCTCGTCAGGCCCAGCATCAAGCCCACCCAATCCGCCCGCGACATCGACCGTCTCTCTGCTGACACTCGCTCCATGCGTTCCGATCCGGCCTCGTACTACCAGTCACCCCCTTCGCCTACCCAGCTCCGCCGGCCCCCTACTTATAGGCAAGAGGCTGCCATTGTCCAGCCTGCCGTGAACCCCCGTCGCCGCCCTTCGACCTCACGTCCGCGCCCAATGAGCTACAACGGTGAGCCCAACTCTCAATACTACACCCCGGGCATGCCCGCACCCTACCCGAGCCCACCCCAGGAGCATGGCCCGCCTCCCTCCAATTCTGCGCAATGGCGTCAAATGCCGCAGTACCACCACATGGCTGGCATGGCCCCTCCAGTAGTTGCCCCCTATGGTGCGCCCCAGGGCTACCCAGGGGCCTATCCTTACAACCACACGCCTCCACCATATGATGGTCCGCAAAGGCCAAACATGCCGCCTCGTACCTCATTCAACTCTGCACGCAATGGACCTGCCCCTCTCGTCACCCAGGCCCCATCGCGCGAACAACAGTACTCGGCAAGGTACGGCCAGCCCCAGAGTGCCAGCCAACCTAGGTTTCCACCGCAATTGCAGCTCCAAGAAGGCGCCTATGAAAGCGATAGCGGGTCCGAGACCGGCTCATCCGAGGAAGACGACGACGAGTACTATGAGCAGCCCGACCCCAATGACCCTCGCAATCGACGTGCCCTCATGGCACCAGCACCACCAAAGATTGAGCAAGCAAAGCCGAAATCCAAAAGCAAAAAACAACAGCGACCCCCCATTCGTCACGCCAACACAACCCAAGTGGTTGACGAGCGTCCTAGTCGCCGCATGTCTTTGTCTCAGCCTCCAGCTCAGCCGCAGTCTCTGGTCATTGATGACCGTCGCAGGAAGCGTACTTCAAGGACCATTGAAGAGCCTTCCCGCCGTGCCTCTGTCAGTCGGCCGGCTCCTCCTTCCCGCCAGATACAGTCCGAATACCCCAGTCACCGTGGCCAGATTGTCGTTGCCAACTCGAGCAAATCTGAACGACGTCGTTCGGCCCAGGTCTATGAACAGGTATACGACCATCATCCCGAGGACAGACGGGCAGCCAAAGCCGCTAGGGAAGCTAAAGCTCGCGCCCGTGAGGAAGAAGAAGCTCGAAGAGAGCAAGAACAATACGAAGCCGAGCTTGCTCATCAGAAACGTCTCAACCGAACCTCCAAACAATACTACCAACCCCCAGCAGCGTTTGACAGCGACGAAGAGTCTGAATCAGAAGAGTCTGAAGACGATCACTTTCCGCCCGAGGCACCGGCACCGCCTCCCCCTCAGGCCCGCCGCCGCCGTCCAACTGACGTGGGCAAAGGCAAGGAACGTGTCCTCGAGCACAAGACCAAGCGCATCGAGAGCGCGGCCGAAGAGTACATTAGTGCTCGCCGCGGTGCTCCTGGACCCCTGAACGATCCTATTCACAATGCTGCACGGCACTCGAGAACCATTTCCATGCCCTCTCACTCTGGCTCTTCGGGAAGTGAAAGAAGCCGAAGCAACCGCACGGCCGTCACCAACGAAAACAATGAGATTCGTCTGCGAGTCGATGCAAACGCTCCACTCAGCTTGCAGTTCAATGGCGACATGGAGGGTCGCACTCTGCGCATGATCCCGGCCGAGAACGGCATGGCTGATCTGGTCATCAGCGGAGGGCGCGACCGTGAAAGTGTCTACCACAACAGCGATAGAGGTAGCATTGCAGACGACCGAAAGGCATTGGTGCCAAAGCAGCCGCGGAGACAGGCTGAAGAAATGACCGAAAATAGTTTACGCAGCTCCCGCAGGAGGCGTGACAGCCAAGTAATACGAGAGCAACGCATAGAACGGAGCAGTGGCCAGCAGCGACCTTTGCGTCAACGCGCCCACACCAGCTCCTATTACGGCGAATAGGCTTCTCCGAACCTTGAGCAGTCTGGCTTGCTGCTACGATGCACATGACCACTTTTGGCAATTCTTCAGTACTGTATCTACGACGACTGGCTACGTGCCCCCTTTTTTTTCCCTTCATCATACCAAAAGTCTTCGTTTCGTTATCCTTTTTTTTAGCGGGTCGAAAACAGGTTGAAACAAAAGCTTTGCATGGACTTGGCTGGCTTTCTACGGGGCCAAACTTGTTCACCAACAAAAAAGTTTTGATCGGTTGGCTTGGTCGTGTTCTCAAAACTGGTTTTGATTCCCCAACTCACGTTTCATGTTTGAGTGTTTTGGCTTGCGTTCCCCCAACGACTCAGTATTTGTCCATCACACAGTAATATTGGTTGTAGATTGGAACGCTCACGCAACAAACACCATGACATGGCCCACGAGAAAAGCGTCGCACCATTACAGGAATGCGACCTCGTATTCAGCCGTGTGCTTGTTTCCTCGTGCTTTTTTCTTCCTTGCTATTTTGGTAGCGTTCGCAACTTTTGTTTTTCTTTTACCACCTTTCTTCCTCTATTTCTCTCTCTTTTTGTTCTGGAATGTTTAACAGCACTCGCAAAAAACCCCTTGATAATTTTTCTCTTCCAGCTTCGCACTATACCTGCTCCCCGCGGAGGTTATTCGAGCTTTTTTTTTACTTCTTTTACTTACTTTTTTCTTTGTTGTTTTGCTGGTGGATGTAATACCCTTTTCCTCTCATATCTGTTGTTGTGTGGCTGGATCTACGTGGCACATGGTCGGAAAGGTTGTTCTTTTTTCCTTTGGCTGCTAAAAAGATGAAGAAGAAGTTTGAAGAAAAAGTAAAAAGCTGAACCGATGCGTTGGCAGTGAAGGAATGGGGGGAAGCTATGACGCTTTCATGACGGTTGATGATGGATGGCCCAATGGAAAAATGGATGAGCTACGTAGCGTTTTTGAATGTTTTGTTTTTTTCTTGTCGTTGTTTTTTCCTGTTCCCTTTGCTTTCCATAGCCGAGTTGACACGTCGATGGTGGACCTGGATAGTTGTGGTACCTGTCAAGCAAACAACAGCCGACAGGTACAGAAACAATCCGCTGGTCTATCATTGACGAGAATACAAGTTGTTCTTGCTCTTGTTCTCCTCAAAAACCTATTAGCTCTCCTTTTCCTGCATTGCTGTTCGTGATTATGTCGTGCATGTTTTAAACAATCAAGGCAACTTCCGCGGAAAGAGACAGAGCCAAATGTTACATACATAATGGCTAGCATGCACCGTTTGATTCAACTCTACATCTTACCGCCTACAAAACATACTTTGCCTCCGTTACATCCATATCTCGCTTCTTCTTTCGCGAGCCGGACAAAAAAAAACAAAGTGACATCCGTACTTCACTTCTTTCTCTCTCTCTCTCTCTCTCTCTCTCCCGAATCGGACAAAATAAGCTACTTTCTTTTTGTCCCCCCTTCTTCTTGTTCCCCCGCACTTTGCCCACCACCACCACCATGGCTAGTCGCGAGAAAAGGCGGGTAAAGAATCCTCTCCTCGTGTATCCGGCAATAGTGCCAACGGGCCCCCTCCCCCCCCCCTTTCAGCAAACCCTTTTTGGACCAGATGGAGTATATGCAGTTGTTTTGCCTAGTTTTCTACCGCTGATATAGTATACATTATGAGTTTATATGTAATGTGAGGGCTTGTTTTGGTATGGATGTTTGGATCTCAGCAACCTTATTGTTGTGGTCGATTGGTGTGGTGACGGGTGGGGATAAGTGAGATTGGGTGACGGAGGGGCACCGCTTTTCTCTAAACTTTTTTTTCCTTCTTCATTTCTTTTCTTTTCTTTTCTTCGTATAGAGGGATGGATTGCATCTTGTTTCCTCTGGTGGAGTTGGCTTGAGGGCAAGGAGTGTGAGGGGAGAGAGAGAGAGAGAGAGGTGTTTGATCAAAGTGGTATGAAAGTGAATACGACCTGAAACATTCGAGAGATGTAAGGACATAATTAAGTTTTTTTCTTTGTGTCGTTTGTTATGTTTGAAGAAGGGGGGGGAATTGGTGAGCTGTATTACGTATTCGTTATGCTCAAATGACGGATATATCCGACTACTCGGTCTTCTATCATATTACTCAATCCTGGTGCTAAAGTACTTGCACCCAGCTTCAAGCATAAATATAGCAAAACGGCCCCCCAACCGTACTCATCGCATCTCTAATCGTAATGTTCGGATACCCTACATACTCACCCACGGACAACGCATCCCCTAGCGTAGCATTCTTCGCCGTCGTATCCCCGATACCACCTGCACTTCCAGCAAGCGCTCTTTCACGGTTCTTAAGATCGAGATTCTGCCAGGTCCACCACACACGATCAATCATGCCGTGGTGAGGATAAAACGCCGGATCAGCAGGACTATTGTAGAAATCCGAGCCCGCATCTCCGCCAATTGTGTAATCTACTTTTCCGTTAGGGAAGCGAGCTCTAAAACGTGGAGGGTTTTTCCTAATAAAGACTTACGACCACCAGTATGCACGCCCATGCGGCCCTCTGCAAACGCGCCCTGATACTCTCTCTGAAACGTCGCGATATCTGTGTAATTATTGATGAGCCGTACGACTTCCGAGTCTGTCGTCGCATTCGCAGCTTGCAGCGAGATATCGCGGCGGAGACACCGCGGGTTGTAGCCTAGCCCGTTGGCCTGTGGGTTCTTTGGTAGACCCCCGCCTGGAAGCTGGAGCATAGTTTGTAAAGGTCCCATGTTGATTTTGAAACTATGAATACGTTATTAGCACAGATTTGAAGGCTGGAATATGAAAGACAAAAGGTTGCTAGGGCTTACTCTTTAAATGGACCAGATGTTACACATCCACCGCCTGAGCCTGGTGCTAGATGCATGTAGCACGGCCCAGCTATGCCATCCCACGGGAAACAAGATGAGTTGCGCCCGGGGACGTAACTGCCATCGCCGGACATGCTCGAGGCACTGCCGTCGAAGAAGGGGCCGCTTTTTGGGTCAGAAGCGTAGTGTGCCCAGTTGTAGTAAGGGAAAGTGCCTTTGTAGCCACACTCTTTTCTGATCATTTGTTCGAAGACCCAGGTGAAGTAGCGGTGCCATGTTAGGAAGTTGCCTGTGCCGTGGATGGTGAGCGACTGCTGGATGTGGGTGACGACTAGATCATCGTAACGGCTCTTGGCACCAGGAGCGACAGAAGCTGGTGTCCTTGCAGGGAGCTTGTGGAGGCAGTTGACAGCATCGGTGAAGGCAATTCTCTCTTTGCGGGATAGTGTTGCCCTGTATCATGTCAGTGACATTACGTCCTAAGCTATGGTACCGACTCACCACTCCCTGCGAACCGACACTTTGTCCAATGTACAAGTCCCAGGGCTCGGGATGCCGTTCTTAGTTAAATGAATCGCCAGCTTCGTCATGCCTTCAGCAGCAAGGTGATCGTTCTCCATGAACTTGGCGCTAGTGCTGCCGGCCAAGGCAATACCGAGATAGGTGGAGATCTTCATTGTAGAGTCCGTCTCGATAGACAGGCGTGTCCGCTACTGTAAATCCTGGAACAGAGTGCTACAATGAGCTATGGTGAAGAGCGTGCTGTTCGAAGTACTTATCATTGAGCTTTATATAGTGCAAAAAGAACTTGTGGCAAGTAGCCTAAAATACCCGGCCACGGCTAGCTTCATCGCTGGGAGGCAGATAGGCAGGATGCAGCCCATTTTGGCGAACCAGAGTCAGTGGCATCAGGCTAGCTCTGTAAGTCTGGATCCGCCTACACAGTGGCAGACCAGGGGCGATATTATTTGCCGAGTTGGGCGAGTAAAGCCTAGAAAATCTTTGAGTAGCAATGTTGCAAGCTGCGATAAAAGAAAATTTACGTAGCGTTTTGCGTGTAGTACCAAGAATATAATATACGAGACCATTGAACTTTTCCAAATTCACCAGACGAAGGCATTTCTCGCAATCTAGAACCTCGTTGTGATAAGAGGGGCTGGTCGGAGGAAGTTGCCTCATCCTGCGACTGTGCCACGAGGATACATGGAAGTGTTGAGTGATTAATCAATGGTCGAACCACACGATTGCCGAGGCCCGTGTGGACGGCTCAAGAAGGATGTAGTCGTCTAGTGTGATTATACACTTACCGGGGGGCTGTCAACGGGTGAGGGACGGCACGGAACGGACGGCATAATAAGGGTAACCGAGCATACTAACTCTATCAAGTTCAGACCATGCCATTTTGCCGGATCCCTTGCTTAACACTTGCGACGTCTAGTCATATTGCGCCTCGCGCATTCGAACACCAACGGCTCCAACACAAAAAATCGCGTGGCATGAAGAGTAAAACCCGGCCCGTGAATCGTATGCATGAGACTTTATCCAACTGGAGCCATCGACAAAGTGAATTGCGGCCGTGAGCCCCTGAACATGATTACGGCGAAGTGGCCAAATCGATAGTAACAACAGCTCCTGGTATGTGGCACAGTCAAACCATCCATGAGAGCCCCGCGGAGATTAGAACAGGAGCCAAAGGAGCAGAAATACTCGGAGATTCTCTCCTTTCCCGACACCTTGTAATGCGGCATGGTCTTCAAGCATACCGCTTGGAAACTGGTTACTCACTTCGGTTCCGATGCTACGGAATACAAGCACATCAAAAAAATCAGTTCTTTGTCTTCCTAGCCAAACATACGTAACATTTGCTGACTGTGCCGTACATGATTTCGAGGTGACGAAACAGCACAAATAAATAGCGCTGGCAGTATGAGCCATGGACTTTGACAATCCCATCCGTCCATCGTCGCCTCACAGTAGAATGTCCCCCAGACGTTTACTTGCTTATTCGATACCGCAGTATGTGTTCGCGTTATTGGTGGCTTTGTTGCGCTGCTGGGTCCGCCTGAAAATCGTTAAATCTTTTGGTAGAGATGACTGGGTAATGATCAGCGCATTGGTACGTATGGCATATTGGGGCCTGCCTCAAACTGGTGTGTTAATGGATTGATCACAGGTACCTGCAACTGCGTGCTTCTTATCCTACATGACCGAGATTTCGCTTGGTCTGGGAAGTCAGGTTGATTTACTAGAAGCCAATATGTCAAACTACCACAAGTTGCTTCTGGCTCGCCTTTTGCACCAGGTGTTTGTGGTAATGGCATTGGGCTTGGTAAAAGTATCAATTTGCCTGTTCCTTCTTCGTCTGGTTATGAAGAAGCTGTACATCCGGGCCCTCTGGGGTATCATCATATTCATGGTCGTCTTTACGATCGGCAGTGTGCTATCAATAGTGAGTAAAATCTTTTATCGATTGTGCGATCTCGTGGCACACCAACATCGCTCTACAGTTTTCTAAACATGACTGATATTTCAGATTCTCCAGTGTATTCCAATCTCAGCAGGATGGAACCATTCTTTGCGTCCACCGCCATTGGGTGTTGGCAGCGCAAAGTGCTACAGCCTCGGCACGTTTCGTAAGATCGGACTCTTCAACGGAGGTATGGACATACTATGTGAATTTTATTCTAACCTCATTACTGACGATGCAGTGATTCATATTCTCTCGGATATATTGCTTGCTCTTCTGCCGACTCCCCTGATTTGGAGACTGCAGATGGTCAGACGCGCCCGCTTCACACTGATAGTGGTCCTTTCTGTTGGCATACTTGCGGCAATCGCTGGAATAATCAGACAAGTTAGTGTCGGCCCACTTGACGAGTATGATGCGTATTCAATCTGGAACTTCACTGAATTGCATCTGGGTATCATCGCGGCTTCACTACCAGCACTAAAACCGATTTTCAAGAAGTTCTTCGAAACCATTGGTACAAATATAGCAAGAACACCAAGATATGGACGGTCTAACAGTATCGTAATGTCGCCGTTTGGAAATACGGCAGCTGCAAAAGGGGGTTGGCAAACTGAAGATAATACCGACGTTTCCATGTTGTGTCCTCCGGACAACATTCGTGTGACAAGCGTAGTGCAAATTCACCAAGGATGGTTGCGGTCGTGAGAGTGTCAGTTAGAAGAACCAATCAACTACGTCTTGAGGACAGAGTAGGTTAATATAACTCCCGATTTTCTGTATATGTAATGAGAAATCAAGAAAAGCCGATGGCTCGCTCGAGCAAGCCAGCCAAACCAAACAGCGTTGTAAATACCGGGTTTGTAGTTACTCTATGTCGACAAATTTGATGAACATGGTGCAATCATGACGACCACTTATGAGATGAACAGTACGCAGGGAGATGGGAGCGGTTGTTTGATACATTAAGAGTTGACGTAAGACAGCCGTGAGGGCAACTGCGATCTCTGTGCCTCATGCCGAGGAACTAAGGGGTTGCAGGAGAAAATGGCTATGAGAGTGATGGGATACACTGTCCCTTGGTATCAGAATAAAATGTAATGTCAGTATAGCAAGATAATAAACAGTATGTGATTCGGTAGGCGGGGCAGTGATCATAGCTTATGACAGTATTTCCATTCATCAGTACGCTGGAGACCTCACGTGACAGGGTGGCCTTCAACTCTATCATCGGGCTCAGCAGTCTAGAAGTAGCCGAATTGTTATCCGTGTTTTTTTTCTCTTACAATGATGAGTTCTGCAATGATCTAGTTGCTGGGATATCGGAACGAGCTACCATCGGCTGAAGCGCTTAGATGAAGCGAATGCCTTCCCTACCAGGCGGGGGTCCTGTCCTCAAGGATAGTCGTCTGGCTGCTGGTTGGAGTGAATGCCATTCTCGGTACCTTATCAAGGGTCTCGAGCCCAAAGGTCTGAGTTCCATTAATGTGCAACGATATGACATGATGATACAGATGGATCGGCTCCATAGCGTTGTTGCCCAACGAAACTAGCACCCCAGCTCTCATGGAAGATTGCAGTCAGCTTACCCGGTCTCGTTGGGCGCAGACAATAAGTGCTAAGTATGTACAAGGTCTTCCATGGTCATGTATTTGTATATCTCATCACTCCAGAAATTAGTCGCAGCCTAAAGGTTTGGATCAGCTCGGCCTTGTGTTGTGTAGAAGGCATGGGTGCTAGGTATAGCGTGAATGCGGGGGAGGGACACGTGTGTAGCAGTCGCCAAAGTATCTGCGAAGACTATTGTGCGGCATTCCCGCTAGGCCGGCATGACGGTGCCCAAGCATGGCATTCTTGGTTGCTACACAGACAAGTCGGAGGCTGAGAAGCCCATGGTCTGGGGAGAAGCTAGCGGGGTTGGCTGCATGACGTCATCGCGCATTCTACCCACCCTTTGCTTGCCCGGCTCACACAGTACATCCATATCCCGAGAGGGGCGGTCAGCCAGCTGCGGCTATACTTGTCTTGATGCTTACGCGGCGTATCGTACAATCAGCTGCTCTCGATGCTAATGCACGGCTAATCTTAGGGCTCGGATGCGACTCGCTGTGCCGCAGGTTAAGCGGTACCACAGTGTGCGTCATTGTGCGCGACAAGAACAATCGCTTTAATCCCGCGCTCTTCACCTTCATCCCGTCATGTCATTTGCTACTCCAAAACTGTGACTACGCGCGCTAGAAAAAAAACAAAGAGCTAGAGCATTGCGGGGTTTGAGTGGGTGCACTGTTGATATACTTCTTCAATTCTGCAATTCGCATTCTCTTTTCCTGCATTTTGCATTTCGGGAGTGACGTGCGTGTAAGAGAACTGCCCCAGGGAAACTGTCGCGAAAATGAACTACGCATCGTGGATAGAAGAGAAGAAGCTCAAGGTACATACTGGTGACACGCAGTCACACGGTCAAAGCTGACTCGACACGCTCAGAAAACCTTCATTGTAGCTACATTGGCCTCCACTCTTGTCGGCACCTTTACGGCGTCTCTAGGTCTATGGGAGCGCATTGCGGATAGACGTGCTCAGCACAGACAGAAACAGCGCGATATCAAACAGGATAGCGAAATCAAGGAGTTGAGGATGCAGTTTGAGGAAGCCCAGCAAAAGGCAGAAAAAAGACAGGAGGAGATTGATCGGCTTCGGAACGGCCGAGGACGAGATGATGTAGGAAGCAACTTTGAGAGAGACATGATGATGGTGCAGAGAATGTACGATCAAGGCTACGGTCGGATAGGCAGTCGGTTCGCGCAAGGCGATCGTAAGTATCTCACTCAAAGACAATAGGCCCAATGCTAACCTCAATGCAGCAATCATCGAGAACCAGCTCCAAGCGCAAATCATAGCCCTTCAGCAGACAGTGATTAGTGTACTCCAAGACGCTCTTTATAGCGATCGTCAACTTACCCGCACTGACATGGCGAAATTAATCAACGCCTCCAATGAAGCTCGCGAAAATTCTCTCGAAGCCCTCCGGCAAGCTCAACAGCGCTTGGGAGGTTCACAGGTCAGCAACGGCTCTCATCGATCTGCATCGCCCTTGCGTTCTCTCCCACCTCCACAGCGCGCTTCTTCCGCTGTTCTAGATGGACCTGAGCAACTCTTTTGCCCTTATGCTCTTGATATCCAACGCATACAAAACAAGCCCTTGGCAGCCAGCTTCGCCCCAGGAGGTAGCTGCATATGTCCCGCCTGTGGCCTCCAACTGGACGTCACTAGCGAGGACTTTTGGATGATCGGAAAACGCACGCCCATCACCGTCTGGGACAAGACAACCGGCTACGAATCCGAGGTATTCGATACCCGCGAGTTCCGTCTCGCACAGCGCTTCGTTGTCCAGTGTCATACACCAGATGGAGAGTATGCGTGTACAATATGTAGCAAAGGCCAGGACGTGGATGCGATTTGTCGAACTGTGGAGAGTCTAGTTAAGCATGTAGGTACATACCATGATGCAGCTGAACTGGAACGCGAACCAGATCTGAGGGAAGTAAAGGTGGAGACTAAGCGGTTGAGTTTACCGGCGCCCCCACCGCTATCAAGTGATCCACGACCGTTACTCAGGGAGGAAGTGATTTATCGTTAATTTTGCCTTGATGAGCAGTTCTAAAAGGTTTACTTGCAGATTAGCGCCCTTCTTACTCGTTATGGCGAGGCGTTCAAGACGTTGTCTTCCTTGTATCCGAGATGAACTTCTTGTGGGCTAGATGGTTGCACTTACACGTTACTATCTTCCAATGCCTGTTTGTAATATAGAAACCATTTAATGAACTAACGGCCTACATACCCTAAATACAATCCCAACATATCTTTCGCTCTTCCAGTCTTTGTCTAGGGCAACGCTTGCACACGTCAGGTCACATTTGCCGCAAGGCTGCCGCCATACCCGTCCTGTCTCACTATCCCCACAGCGTGCGAGGCTTATGCAGTGACAAGAACGGTAACTGAGATGGTCTGAACGGTAATCGAAAAGCTTATTTGAACGTACGCAGCCTTGCAATGACGCCTAGGGACATTGTCGGAATGCGACAGGGTCCGTGCACCCATGTGCGTCACTAGGCTGTGGACATGTGTAAGGTGTCCTCGGCCGCGATACTACTACATATCAACACTGAGAATAGCAATCTATCTTAGTGAGGCCTCCCATTTACAAATCCTAATTCACTATCTATTATTCTATCTCAACTTCGTTTCAGGCGGAGACATGTCAATGCCTGTTGTTTATGCTTACACCGTCTGGCGGCTGCCGTCTAGTACCTCAACCGACACCAGCTTCATATGAAGGCATGACCTCCCCATATTCTGGAAGAAACTTTTCTGTATTTCGCCTCAGTAAAGCTGGGTGCGATAGACTCACACAGACAAAGGGATAGCAACAACAGCGTGTCAAGGTCTATTTACTGCCGACGACGGAAATAGCATTGATTGCAGCTCTATATTACTCAGGAAAGTCCAAATACCTACGCTACTATTCTTCCAGCATACTTGAATGATTGAAGGCACTACTACGTTGCAAAGCCGACCAGGTAATATGGTCATGTAGTACCATGATACCATCAGCATGTCGGATATCAGGGCAATCCCGGTCTTCTCGCTGGACCTTCTCCGGAAACTATCACACATACCGTGATATCCTACAGAAGAACGGAGCTAACAGTAACCAAGTACACTTGCCGTTGGCACTTCGCGTAATGTCCTCAGAATGACGTTCGCCGACACTTCGCCGCCGCCGCCGCTACCGGCCCCACTCAACCATACAAAATTTTCCTTACTACCAAACAACCTGTAACAAAGCACGAACAAGAACTTATGTTTTGCAGAGCAAGTTGCAAAAAGCTTTTACAAGTGAATCATGAAGGATACAAATACATTTGTCTTCATCTAAAAAACAACAAGCCCGGCTAGCTCAATCGGTAGAGCGTGAGACTCTTAGCTTTCACGTCCTTACTAGACACGATTGGTTATCTCAAGGTTGTGGGTTCGACCCCCACGTCGGGCTTCTCCTTTTTTGCTTATTGCCTCAGTTTTTTTTTTGAGTTTTTGGCTTGAAAACTGCCTGCATTCATGGTAGGCTATTCATATTTAACGCTCAAGCCAGGCAGCCGTCGCAATGGCGAATGTCGAATCGGGATTTTTTTTCATCGAGAGTAAATACAAAGGGAAGAGACCGCAAGATGATGAGCGGGATCAGGAAATCATTTTTCTAGTCTCTTTTTGTTTATCTCATCTGACTATTGGGTAAGGAATGCTGTTATAGCTCAGATCTGCTTGGCGCCAAAATATCATCTGTACCAGCAACTATGCTACACAACGTGATTAGTTTTTATATCTAACTATTGCATTTACCGGATTCACCCAACTATAGAGGGAATTTACTTATTATAAGAGCCAAAGTGTGTTGTCACTTGCACACCGATACCTTTTTGCACATTCTAAGGTCATTTCACAGTGGACTGACTCAACCGAGCGCCGAGCGCCGCGGAAGAGATTTTGATGGCCGCATTTATATTTTTGAAATGCACATCGCCAAATAACCAATAATGGAGAATTCGCGTCTATTCAATTGTGATGCACCTAGTAACTTGACTTGATGTTGAGGCGGCAATTCGACCAAGCGAAGTATGCATGACCTAAGTCTAGTGAAGGAATCTGCAATGCCAGTATCCCCACACTTTGTTACAGCGATTTAGAATCCTCTAAAATGTTCTTTAACTACAGTTCGCAACTACTACGTGCACTCTAGAGTGGTCCTATGTGTGCCAAATTGTAAAGTGTATGAACACTAAGAGTGGTTAACTATTCAAACAAACTTGCCATGTCAAAGGCTGCACAGTCAATAGAAGAACTGATGAGTCTCACCCCTGGTCCATTGGTCCAACGTTATGGAAATAATTTGAAATAATTCTCATCTTTCTCCAATCATTAAAATGTGGGGAAACGTGGGCTGCCTTATCAGTCAATTCTAGACCCACCTCCGCATCTAGCCCCTCGGTCTTCTGGATAGTGGCGTTGCTATTTTAAGATCTTCTACCATGCCTCACAGCCCAGTTTGAAATCGCTGTATCTGCTGACTCATACATTAGGAAGCGAGACAGCTTACAATGACAGTCAACAAGTCTTTGGTGTGTCTGGCCCTCCTAAGGGGGTGGGAAACGCTCCTTTACCCCATCAACCCGTATGCCACCAACGAATCACCAGCGCGCCAATATTGGATAGCACACGTTGCGGATTCACTTGGTCCGCTTCGCCAATGCCTTTTACCATTTTGGGATTCTTAAAAGCTTGATAGAATAGATACGGCTTACGATGCACCAGACCCCTGCTCGATTGGAGGCGCATATGCACTGCAGGACGACAGAGGACTGATGGTTCAGCAAAAACCTTAGCTTGCCGCTAACATGAATGGAGTCGCCTTTGCTTCCGATAGTTCCTGTATAAGAGACAGGGTAGAGGGATCGTTTACTCTGTTTTGGAGATCCCTTCATCGCTATGTCCTCGCCATCAAGCCGTATAGGTGAACTGGCAGCCACCATTGCCCACCATACCACTCGAGTGGACAAGTTTCTTTCCGGCAACAATCTTCCACAGCCATCTTTTGATACTCATGGTCCAGTCGATCTAGGCTTGCCTTCCGAAATCGAAGAGTCACGTGTTGCCGTTCTGCAGGCAACTCAGGAACTGAATGATCTTCTCCAAGGTCCCAGGGAGCTGATTTTCAACCACCAGGTTTGCAGCCCGAACTAACCCCAGAGCGATTTTCATGCTGATTGACGTTCAGCACAATTTTTTGGCACATCTTAAACTAATATCTCGTTACGATATTGCCCATAAGGTGCCGATGAATGGCGAGCGAACGTTTAAGGATCTCGCGGCGGAAATTGGTATAGATGAAGGCGCTCTCACACGCATCCTTCGCATGGGCATTGCGTACCGCGTATTTCAAGAGCCTCGCCCTGGCGTAATAAAACACTCCGCAGCTTCAAGACAGATTGCAGATGATACTCGCGCAGCAGGATGGGTTGCAGCAAATGTTGACGAGATGTGGCCAGCAGCTGAAAAGCTCGTGGATGCTTTGGAAAAGTGGCCCGAGGCTGCCGAGCCAAACCACACTGTATGCATACACTAAGAGCCATGCATTCAGAATACTAACGGCTTGTAGGGATTCTCATTGGGACACGAAACTGAACTGTCTTTCTATCAAGCCCTGGCCAGTGATCCAGAACGAGCTCGTCGATTTGGCGAAGGAATGAGCTTCTTCACCACCGGCGACGGATTCTCACTACGCCACTTGACAGATGGATATTCATGGAACTCGATAGCATCAGGTACTGTTGTCGACATGGGCGGCTCCCACGGCGATGCAGCCTTTGCACTGGCTCAAAAATATCCCAATCTCCATCTCGTTGTGCAAGATTTGCCCGAAGTCATTGCAAACTCGAAAGAACAAGAAGGTCTGAACGTAACATTCATGGTACACAACTTCTTCGAAGAGCAACCAGTTAAAAACGCTGATGTCTACTACTATCGCTGGACCTTACACAACTGGTCTGACAAGTACTGTCTCAAAGCACTGAGGGCGCTGATACCAGCGTTGAAGAAGGGCGCGCGGCTATTGATCGTGGATACAGTCATGCCTCCTCCTGGAACGCTCCCCAATAATCTGGAGCGAAAACTCAGGTACTTATACTTAGCCTTTGCATTCACCAGCGGCCATGATGCTAATCAGCTATTCAGGGGTATCGATCTGACCATGTTGGAGATCGGAAATGCCAAGGAACGCAGCCTGGATGAGTGGAAGACTCTGCTACAAGATGCAGACGCGAGATTCAAGTTCCGCGATATGCATCATCCTCAAGGCTCGAATTTGGCTATTGTCGAAGCTGTATGGGAGGAGTAGATGTGAAACACTTGTGGTGTTTATTGGAGAAGGAACCATGGTAGCACCAGCTATTTTATGAATCCATTGGCCGATATGAACGAGACGAGCTGATGTTCCACTATTTAGTGCGTCATTGGGAATCTAAAGACGCTATCATGGAACGGAAACATGTAGTAATCCATAGGTAATAGCCGTGCTTACTATCGATAAGAAGGCTTGGCGTAGTAGAGGCGACGCGTCGACGCGTCTAAATCAATTAATGGATAGCGTATCCAATCATCAACTCTACTTGCGTCAACCTACAATCGTTCATCTATTCAACTTTGTCTTGATAATTTACTGCATAGCTCAAAATGGCGTCTAGACCAGAGATCAAGGAGGAGGATGAGTCTGGTTTCTGCAAGTTCTTTCGCAATCTGGACGAAAAGGACAATGAGACGGTGCGCATATTCGACCGTGGCGACTATTACAGCGCCCACGGCGAGGATGCTAAGTTCATTGCGAACACTGTAAGTTTGTCCGTGAAGGATTAGTGCATGATCAACAAATTGACATTGCTCTAGGTCTACAAAACCACAGCCGTAATCCGCAAGCTGGGACGAGAACCAGGACTCGAGTCCGTCACAATGACCGTCACCGTTTTCCGCAACTTCCTCCGAGACGCTCTATTCCGACTCAGCAAACGCATTGAGATATGGCAGTCAACAGGCAAGCGCATGGACTGGAAGGTTGTCAAACAAGCCTCACCCGGCAACCTACAAGATCTGGAGGATGAGCTGGGTGGTCAGATTGAGAGTGCCCCTATAATATTGGCGGTCAAAGTATCGGCCAAGGCATCGGAAGCACGGAGGGTGGGTGTATGCTTTGCCGACGCAAGTGTACGGGAGTTGGGCGTTTCAGAGTTCCTTGACAACGACCTCTATTCAAACTTCGAGTCACTCCTCATCCAGCTGGGTGTGAAGGAGTGTCTGGTACAACTCGACTCAACGAAGAAGGATGTCGAGCTCAGCAAGCTTCGGACTATTGCCGACAACTGCGGGTGTGCAGTGGCAGAGCGAGCACCGGCCGACTTTGGCACAAAAGATATCGAGCAAGACTTGCCTCGGTTGCTCAAGGATGATCGTGCTGCTGGTTCACTGCCTTTGACAGACCAGAAGCTGGCCATGGGCTCAGCTGCGTGTCTGATCCGGTATCTGGGCGTCATGTCTGATTCATCAAACTTTGGACAATATCAGCTCTATCAACACGACCTGTCACAATATATGAAGCTTGATGCGGCTGCGCTGAAAGCACTGAACCTCATGCCTGGACCACGAGATGGTGCCAAGAACATGAGTTTGTATGGTCTGCTCAATCACTGCAAAACACCGACCGGCAGTCGATTACTAGCACAATGGCTCAAGCAGCCACTGATGAACCTTAGCGATATTGAACGACGGCAGCAGCTGGTTGAAGCGTTTGTTAATGATACCGAACTGAGGCAGACCATGCAAGAAGAGCATCTGCGCTCGATACCCGACCTATATCGGCTAGCAAAGAAGTTTCAGCGCAAGGCAGCTAACTTGGAAGACGTTGTACGGGCATACCAAGTTGTCATTCGGTTACCGGGCTTCCTCAGCGCTCTCGAGGCAGTCATTGACGAGCAATACAAAGAGCCACTTGACGCAGAATATACGGAGAAGCTCCGTCAATACACCACAGCGTTTGCGGGCCTGCAAGACATGGTGGAGACGACGGTTGATTTGGAGGCTCTTGACAACCATGAATTCATTATCAAGCCAGAGTTTGATGAATCGCTAAAGACCATCCGTAAGCGTCTGGATAAGCTGAAGCGCGACATGGAGTCTGAGCATATGCGTGTGGGCGACGACCTCAATCAAGACACTGAGAAGAAGCTCTTCCTTGAAAACCACAAAGTCAACGGCTGGTGCTTCCGTCTGACGCGCAACGAAGCGGGTTGCATTCGACAAAAGAAGCAATACCAAGAAATCTCGACACAGAAGAACGGTGTCTACTTCACAACAAACACCCTTCAAGAAAAGCGCAGAGAGTTTGACCAGTTGTCTGAAAATTACAACCGCACACAGGCAGGTCTGGTCAACGAAGTCGTCTCTGTAGCTTCATCCTACGTCCCTGTCATCGAGAAGCTCGCCGCGGTGCTTGCACACCTCGATGTCATTGTCGCCTTTGCACACGTCTCTGTTCATGCGCCAACCTCGTACACACGGCCCAAGATGCACCCACGAGGCACCGGCGACACAGTTCTCAAAGAAGCGCGACACCCATGTATGGAAATGCAAGACGACATCTCCTTCATCACAAATGACGTCTCCCTGGTCCGAAACAAGAGCGAATTCCTCATCATTACAGGACCCAATATGGGCGGTAAATCGACCTACATCCGCCAAATCGGCGTCATCGCCCTCATGGCGCAAATCGGCTGCTTCGTCCCCTGTTCAGAAGCCGAGCTTACCATTTTCGACTGCATACTCGCACGTGTGGGCGCCAGCGACAGCCAAATCAAAGGTGTATCCACCTTCATGGCCGAAATGCTCGAAACGGCCAATATCCTCAAATCGGCTACCAAGGAATCCCTCATCATCATCGATGAGCTGGGCCGTGGAACAAGTACGTACGACGGATTCGGACTGGCATGGGCCATTTCAGAGTACATCATCAAGGAGATTGGGGCGTTTGCCTTGTTTGCGACGCATTTCCACGAATTGACCGCGCTCACGGACACGTATCCGCAGGTCCAGAACCTGCACGTCGTAGCGCATATCTCCGAGGGCAGCAGCGCAGCCGACGACGATGGCGATGTAGACATGGAGAATGCGGCTGCGCAGAAGAAACGCGAAGTCACGCTTCTCTACAAGGTGGAACCGGGTTTCTCCGACCAGTCTTTTGGTATTCACGTTGCGGAGCTGGTGCGCTTCCCGCAAAAAGTCATTAATATGGCGAAGCGCAAGGCGGACGAGCTTGAAGACTTTTCTGGAAAGCATGAAGAGGGGTTTGTGCAGGCGAGTAAAGAGGAGGTTGAGGATGGGAGTCGCTTGCTGAAAGAGGTGCTTGTGGAGTGGAAAAAGGAGGTGGAGAGTAAGGGGTTGACGAAGAAGCAGCAAGTGGAGCGGATGAGGGAGTTGGTCAAGGCGAATGAGAAGTTGATGGCGAATGGGTTTTTCAAGAGCATCCAGGCGCTGTGAAGGGGTATAGTCGATGATAGGGTGAGAGCAAAGCGAGCAAGAAAGCAGAACACTAATTCAATGAATGAACAAACAACCTTTCTTGACTGGGCTTGGTGCGATGTGATTGTGAATTGATTATGGTATCATATGAGGTACTTTAGAGTCATGTTTCATCGTACGATGCAAGTGCTTCCACACAGAACATGTCCTACATCTCACCTCTTGAGCTCAGCAAACCGTCTCGACAGTTCATCAACGTCCGGTATCTTGCCGAGCCCATCCTCCTTCTTGGCCGGCTTCTTGGCACTCGCATCGCTCTTTGCGATTTTGGCTGCCGCACTGCCTGGTAACTTTAACCTGGGAGCGACATTATCTGTGCTAGGGCTTGGAGGTACGACTCGCAGCGGACTTTGGGGGCCGAGTTTCTTTGGCGTTGTAGCTTTGGCCAGGGCCTCTCTCTCCTCTGCCTTCTTACTTTTGCTGGGGTCAGCATCGTCTGTAGTCAATGGGTCTTCGAGGACTCCTTCAGCTCTCTCAGCTACTCCGCCCGAGGGTTCGTCATCTTCATCGTCTTCAGCCTCGTCCTCGCTCTTGGACGTGCCATACGGCACGCCATAGAATCTCGCAATCTCCGTCATGTAGGCCTCGACCAACTCTGTCTTTGGTGTTTCCACTCGCAGCTTCTTGATTACTCTCTCTGCGACGCCCTCGCCCTCCATACTGGCTATGGCGACATCCTTGCCAAACTTATCCACAAGCAGCGCCCGGACCGTCTGCAACTCCTTGATCTCTGTGCGCGGCGCGGCATATATTATGCTGCGGACGGCCTCCTCCAACGCAGGGTCGAGCAGCGTCGCCGACGAAGAAGCCGCGGAGGTGGTGTTTGAAGACGAGATCTGGGATTCGAGGAGCTGGGAGCGGGCAAGCAGAAGTTCGCAGTAGAGTTCGAGGATCTCGTGCAGTTCGGTGGTAATGTCTGTGCGAATAATGTTTTCTACGCGTATCCTTGCAGATTGGACTTTGCCGACCTAGTGGGAAGGGGGGATCAGGTCAGCAGGTGGTGGGTGATGGTATGCGCGCGCGGTCATTTGCGCGGCCATCTTCTTTTGCGACGAAAAGCAATGGAATACGGGCACGTTGCCATGCGTACCTCGATGAGTTGCGCCATTTCTCGCCTCTGCTGCTTTACTTTTGCGCTGTCTTTTTGCTGCACCATGCGCAGTCGCGATATGGACAGCTTGAGCTGTATCTTGAGCTTCGCCTACCCCTCATTAGCCTTCCCGGGGTGCTGCTGCCTTGAAGCATGTCGCCAAACCGTACAACTAAAGAGACTGGAGGCGCCATTGTGTATATATGTGTGTAGTTGTGGTGCTTGGAGACGACGTCGTAGTTGTTTGTGGTGGGGCGTGCGTGGGGTAATGGCGGCTGTCCATATACGTAAGGTGAAGCTACAGGTCGGGCTGGGAGCTGGATGCAGACGCAGACGCGGAATGCTGGGCCGGGGCGACACGCGGCCAAGGTTCCAACGGCTTGGACCCCCCTCCCCCCTGCACGTCACAAACCTCGTCCAACGACTATCGCCATCCTCCCTGAATTTCCAAAGCGGCATACCCATGACACGCACACGCATTTCTTCGTAGGATTGGCAGGATCGCCAGGAGAACTAGGATGGCCAGGATCACGTAACTATGAGTCGTCCTTCTTGGCGCCATTGCATATCTTGCAAGCTTCAAATCATTGGTCATCCCCTTTGCCTTGTGCAATACACAATACACAACCCGTCTAGTCACAGAGACTTGACATTCGAATCCTGGCAGATTTCTGTTCTTTTCTCTGCAGGCCATGAGGGGCAACTGGTCCGATCTCTCATCATACGAGGCCAGTTCCGAGGAGTACAGCAGATCCACTGCTTTAAAGAGCTTTTACCCTGGTTCATACAATAATGCCAAGGCCGTGCCTCCTCCTTGCCTATCAACGAGGTTTTCATTGGACGCAGACCGACAAGAAGCGCGCAACAACGGAAGGAGTAGCGAATAGCCAGTCTCCTTACGGCGGGTATGGCGCCTAACTCCTACCGAATCCGTCTGGACAAACGGTCCAACATGGTTGCTGTTGATATCCTTACTTGTTTAGTCAACGACAACATAAACGTACCGCTTTATCAGCACTAACGATTCACTGATTGTGCTGCAACTGAATCATGAATAGCCGAAACCTGGTGTCGATCATGAAAGCCGGCCACTGCAAAATGGGTAGAAATGGGCCTTCGCCCTTCCATTATGGCGACAGATTTTCACAAATTATTTTGGTTCTGCTTGAAATTCATCGAGTAATCATTACACTTTTCACCATTCCGCGGGTGATCAACCTACTAAAAACGCTACTATCATGGGCCGTGCCGCTTTTCAGCTAGGGAACGGGAGGGTCAATGCGGACGCCTCCACGCCACCACGACACCGTACACTCATTCTCGATCTCGGTGACGTGCTCTTTCATTACTCTTCTCGCTACCTCACAGCCCTTTCTCGTCAAGAGTTCCAGGCGGTCCTTCTGACTCCCACATGGGCCGAGCTTGATCGTGGTCGCATTGGCGAGGACGAAGCTCTCGCAAAAATTGGCAAAGATCTGTCCCTAGACCCAAAAGCAATCAAGGAAGGATTAACACAATGCCGCAAGACGCTTTGTGTAGACAAGGATCTCGTTGATGAGATTGCAAAGATCAAGAAAGAGATGGATGGGCACCTCAAGGTCTACGCCATGAGTAACATCTCCAAGCACGACTTTGCACATCTCAAGACTGTGCTGTCTGACTGGAGTATGTTTGATGGCGAATTCACGTCGTGTGACGCTGGCATGGCCAAGCCTGAGCTCAACTTTTACAAATACGTCCTTGATACAATCGGCGTCAGTGACCCGTCATCGGCCATCTTCGTCGACGACAAAATCATCAACGTCACTGCAGCACGCTCCTTTGGAATTCAAGGTCTCGTCTTTAAATCAGCACCAGCTCTCCTCCGCCAACTGCGAAACACGCTCTTCGACCCTGTAGTCCGGGCACGCAAATACATGGCCACCAACGCACACAAACACACTTCGCACATAGAAGACGGCACAGAGTTCCCTGAACGATTCTCCCAGTTTCTCATCCACTGGGAACTCAAAGAACCCGCCTGGCTCACTCTATCTGCGCCCGGCGCTTCGGAGGCCCAAATCAAAGCCGACATCCAAAAAGCTTCTTCTGAAGCAAGAACCTGGAACTACTTCAACGGTACCCCCGTAGGCACAACAAAAACATGTAAGTCACTTCCACACTTCCTCTGCCTGAAATTCAAAGCTAATCCTAAACCTCTACAGTCCCCGACGACGTCGACGATACATCCATGGCCCTCCTCGCCTTCTCCCCACCCCGCTCCTCCGCCAATCCCATCCTCGACCTCATGGCCAAAACCCGTCACAGCAGAGACAACCTCGTACTAACCTACTTCGACCCAAAGCGTCCGGGACTCTGCCCCTTCGTATTGGTAAACGTAATCCGCGTCTTCTACCACTACAACCGCGGCAGTGAAGTAAAACCCGAACTCGAATACGTCACGCGTATCCTGCTTAACCGCGCCTATGTCAATGGGACTGCAGTGTATAATTCTGCGGAACCGTTTTTATACTTTATGGCGTGCTTGGTTGATGCGAATCAGCATCAGCCTGAGATTCTTGCGCTGAGGGAGCCATTGGCTGTGGCACTGCGAGAGAGAGTCGGGCAAAAAGATGATTCGTTTGCGGTTGCGGCACGAGTGTTGTCATGTCAGAAGTTGGGGGTTTGGGCCCGTTCCGACATCGAGTATCTCAAGGAGCTGCAGGATTGTGATGGAGGCTGGGAGATGGGGTGGGTGTGCAGGTTTGGGAGGTCGCAGAAGAAGATTGGGAACCGGGGTGTGCCTACAGCGTTTGCTATCAAGGCGCTTGAGCATGAACACCGGATTCAGGGTGAGCCATGATAGATTTTGGATGAATCTTGAAGTTTCGTTTTTTTTCTGTTTTGTTCTTATGAGCACATGGAGGGAAGGGGGAAGACCTGTTATTGTCGCTAATAATACACGTAGCGCTCTTCCTAAAATAAATTTGTTGCTATAGGATTCATATAGCTTGATATCACTGTGCTACTTGAACACTATGATGAATACGTACGTGGGAAGCTACATTCAGTCACCCTGACTCACTCTCTCCGCTATAACCGCCTCCTGCTTCTCATTAATGTGTGCAAAATTCCTGTATCTCTGCTCTTCATCCGACTTGCTGCTCCTAATTACCTGCCTATTTTCCTTGTTCAGACCCATGCAGAGTCTTGGTTTCTCGAAGAACATGGTATCAATCTGCTCCAGCGTCCTTCCAGATGTCTCCACACCAAAGAAGTATGTAAGTGGCACGAAAGACGCGCAAACCACAGCCCAGACCCAGAAGTAGTGGCCCTTGATGTTGTCGAGACCGATGGGTGTGACCATTACGACGACAAAGTTGGACATCCAGTGCGAAAAGACGCCCACGGCCGTGGCTTTGTTACGAACGCGAAGGGGTTGGATCTCGGCAGAGTAGGACCACGATACGGGCAAGATACCGAGAGTGAAGCAGTCCAAGTACAGGAACATGAATGCCACTGCGGCTGCTGCGCTCGAGAAGCTATTCTTGGCCAGGCAACCCGCGATTATGGCCATGCAGACTGCACAACCAGCCGAAGATCCCATGACCGACCAGCGCCGCCCGATCTTGTCTATGTAAAAGTATGGAGGCCACGAGAAAACAGCGTATTGAGAGAACGCTATGGATGCTAGAATGAGAGCCATGCTCGGTGTGTAGCCGAGATACTCTTGGAATATGTAGGCGAGGTAGTAGCAGAGAGCCTGCGTCCAAGTCAGTATCTAGGTGTAAAACTCCAGTTGGAGAGAGCTTACGTTAATACCAGACCACTGGTTCATCATGTATGGGCCCATGCCGAGAAGGACGCGATGCAAGTTTCGAGTCTTAGTAGCATTGCTGAAGACTTCACCCCAGGTGGGCTCTTCCTCGCTGCTTTCGGCCTCAATCGCATCGAGAATCTCTTGTAGCTGGCCCTGAACTTCCTCATCATCAAGAGGCTTGTCGAGCAACCGACTGATAGTATGCTTAGCCTATCTACAGCGTCAGTAATAGTACCTTGGCGCACGTTGATTGGACTTGCCTCGTCGGTTCTACCACGAGATGCCAGCCATCGCGGCGTCTCGCATAGGAACGGACAAAGCGCCAGAACCATGAGTGAGAACAAAATCTGGCAAGCGACAGGGAAGCGCCATTGCAACGAGCTATTGGCGTACAGTGTCGCGAAACATAGCCAAGAAGCAATCGCAACTCCAATAATGATGAGAGCAGACTGAACAACTAGCAATGCGCCGCGGTTGTGCGCAGGTAGTGTTTCCGACTGCAGAATAGGCACCGCAACCGTTGAGAGCCCAACACCGACACCGCCAATGATGCGAGCGACGAACATTTGCCTATAGAGGAGCATAAATGTCAGCAGGTTTCTCTTACATCCCTGGAGAGGAGATTTCCTAACCAATACTCAAAGCTAGCAGTCTGTACAGCAGCTCCCACAACAACGATAAGGTTGGCAAGAATAATCGACCGCTTCCGTCCAATCTTCTCTCCATACAAAAACGCAACAACAGCACCAAGCGCGCATCCTATATCGTAAATCGCCGTGACCAGCCCAGTCATCGTAGGATTCGGGTTGCCCAGCGTATCCTTGAAGCGTTGACCACCGAGGATACCACCAAAAAGACCCTGATCATCTTGCCAAAATATCAGCTTCTGATTACCTGGAGGGTACGTGGTACAGCGTGCATACTCACATCCAAAGAGCAGAAAGTCCAACCCCGATGTCAAAAGAATAACAGTAACAAGGCTCTTGCCCCTAAACTCTGTAAAACCCATGCTGAAAAAGATGCCCTAGACACCCGCTACTCTGCAAAAGTAGATCACTGTGGGTTGATACAGTATTATGGGACCCCCAACCACACGTCCACCCTCTTCTTTTATATACTCATTGATACCCGGATTGATGTGCACCCGGGTTTTCCTTTACAGGCCTAATGCATTTTGCATCTCCAGGACGATCATAGTAGTGTTTGGATGCCATGATGGACGGTAATAGTAGGTCCGGGGTAAATGTGGGGAACTGCGGAGAAAAAAGGTGCTATGGAACGGCTGTCTTTTGCGGGGGGTGGGAATGTCATATGAGATCCTAGCTAGAAAATCAAGGTTGTGGTTGTATTGGCGGACTGGGCGTTGTGCGGGGTTGCCAGATTGGGGAATGCCGTGTTGGAAGTAAGGAAGGTTCGTCGGCAATGCAGCGCCTATGTACGGTAGTCACGTTTGCTTTTTTAGTCATGAAGGGGTCGAGAGCTAATTCTGATGACTCGTAGATGTTTACGTTGAGTGCGTGGTACATGGTCATTGTAACGAGCATCTTGCTATGACAGCAAATGTGTGTGGTAGCAACGCAGCAGGATACAGAGTATGTGTTCACAACACCGGGACTGCGAAGTGGAGTCTCGTACAGACGTAACGGGGAAATTCGACTAGACTAAGTCCGAGCGAACAAGCGATCTTAGCGGGCCTTTTCATATGCTTGGGTTGTGGTCCTAAGGGCCGTCTTGTGCTTCGATTGTTCCAAATACTTGTTCCACTGGATGCACGTAAACACGCAAATCGGCCTACTTCTCGTATTACTTGAGGGTTGATTTTATTGTTCCTCACTGCATGTGGAACTCATAGTATTATCGTAACGATGTTGTGAGGTTCAGTGGATACAATGTAGGTGGAGACGGTTGCATGGCGAACCTCAGAGGTTGTCGACGATTTAAACTGCACGATAAACTCAATACTAACAGGGGGAAGAGCCATGCACACATAGGCCTCCAACAAGATACATTACGATCCCCAAGTATACTTTCGTTCTCCAACCCATCCGGGTCCGCTTAGTGCCTCTCCAATCTGACCCCAACTTCCGTGGGACCCCTCCATCTACTCCAACGCCTGTAACATCTCCCTAGTCGCACTTAGACTCTTACTGTCGCCGTAAATAGCGGCAATAAGGCTTCCATCGAGCTTTGGAAACTCGCGCTGGAGAATCTCGACATTTTCGTCGTCATCGTCTTTCCTTCCTGCCGCTTCATAGCTCTGCATGACCTCGATCTGGTGAGAGCGGTCTTGCCCAGTAGGGAGCGCCATCTCCGTAGCTGTGCGGCGGGGTGGCAGACCAGGTGGGACCTCTCCTTGAGTAGTATTCGGTGTCTGACCTTGGTAGGGTTGCTGTGGTGTGTCTTGTTGATAGTATGAGTGTTGAGAAGTCTCCTGAGGGGTAGTCTGCGCGTAAGGGTTGTGAGATTGGGTCTGGCCGGTCTCTTGGGCCCACGGAGATGTATCATGTTGCTGAGGAGGGTGTTGGCCTAGCGGATTTGGTGGCATTTGTTGAGAGTATGGGTTGTGAGACTGATTTTGATAGGTTTGGTACGTATTTTGGCTTTGGTAGCTTTGCTGCTGACTGGGCTGGTCTTGCCATGGGTTGTCGGTGTTGTGCGAAGCCATATTTATGATGCTGCAGATTTGAAGGGTGGCTGAAGAGGTCTTGGAATGCTACAAATACGTACGTCTCAGAGAAGTGGCTGTAAAAACCGGGTATCTTTGAGGCTGAGGGGTGTTGACGAGTGGTGAAGGCGCAGTAGATGATGACGTACATCTGGTCTGTGCACGTGTCTCACAGCCCCGCCTCAGGCGTCCGCGTATAGAAGATTGCTGACACAGAATGGAGCCATCGTTTACAACATTCACAGATGTGAATTAACACGTGGTAACTCTCCCTAAATCGCATATGGATTTCATTGCTCAATTATTGGTTGGAAATACTCGGCTCTCGTTGCGTCTGATGAGAACTGCATACTTTGCAATACTTTTGTGTGAACAGGAACTCACAAGAGTGCTGAAATTAAGGATGATGTATCTAAATATATACTAGAACACACCCGGGTCGGCTCTTTCGAAGGCTTGTTACGAGATGATATAAAGGCCCTCCTAATGTTAAACAATCCGAAACGTGCAAGAAAGAACACTGAAGGCAACTTTCAAATCATAGAAGAATTCTAGAATTACGGAATGTATGCAAACATTCAAGGAGAATGCAACAGATAACATTCTCATCGAGGCTATGAAGGCATATCTACTTCTGCAGGAGTGATACATTAGCCCAAGGAAAGACTCACAAAGTAGAACAGCGGTCTCTCGTTAATGAGAGTAACCGAAAATGAAATGAGATGGTTCAACAAACGCATATATTTGCAGCAGTACAAAAGTAGAGTTGGTAGTAGGTTAAGGAACAACACATAGAGCTATCACAGGCTGGTGACAACCTCTAAAAATTCTGTCACCCTCATTTTCCTTCCCTTAGCATCATTGTCAACGCCATCACGATCAGTTGTAATCTAAGATCGCAATCTGAGTTAAAACAATATTCTTCCAGCCTCTTTCATTCCGCTTTTTCTTGTCTTCCTCATACAAACCTACAACCGAAACTTTTCTCGTGTCCTAGCAAATACATCAAGCAGACCGTTATTTGTTCTAGCAATTGCCTTCTAAAGAGAACCATCATATGCTTGTTATGTGCTATCAAACTAGATGCCCCTCACTTCCCAATTGTCAACTTTACAGGCGAAAACACGCTCTTCCTGATGACGTCACAAGAGGGATTTCACGTTTTTCCGCCTATGGTCAGTTCTAATGCAGCTAAACAGGCAATAACAAAGCAGTTACGCTAGCAAATACAGAATCTTATTCTAGATATGTCTTCTCCCTAGAAACAAACTCGCTCACGTAACCCTCGTTGCATTTCTCAGCTTCCCTGCTTTGAAGAAAAGTTTGCTATTTGTAGTTGCGGCAATCAAAGGTTTGACGACAACTATCTTGCACCCAAGACAAATCAACACGCTTGCGGAACCACATTTACTTTACGCAAACGCAGTCAGAAACCCCAAATATGTGGCGTAATCAGAATCGACAAAAGGAAAAATTGATTCATTTCCAAGTGTACACATCATTATTCCTATGTATCCTGCGATAAAACATTACCACGTCTATTCATGAGTAAGTTAGCTTCTAAAGTCTCTTCCATACTTGACAATCTTTCTAATCTTAAGATAAGATTCACAGATGGACATAGAGAAACTCAATCACGGCCAAAAACATCCAGATATTTCTAGGTCGCATAGAGTACATTTTCATGACCTAAAAAGGGTCACCAACGCATACAACAGCCACTGACGACCTATACGCTGATTCAAATCGATCCCGTGACACGAGAAGGCCATACGAAAATATATAGCTGGATGGTCTCTCTCGGTAGACCACAGACACCTGTACGCTAAACAACTTCCGCAGACAGTACTAGCTAGAGGATTGCATAACTGGATAGGAGACCCAAAACTGTAGCCTGGTCCGGGAAACCGACTCTTATAGGAACCACAATGCAGATAGTACTATACATATACAAGAACAGTCTCTATGACGAGACATCGCATATGCAGCAAGATACACCTGTTTATATTAAGTATCATCTTGCACCTATACATCAACCGCCAGTCAAGCGCTCAAGATAGGAGCCATCTTCCTCCGTTGAGATATACGCCTCTGGTATGCTATACAACTCAAGTACCCGATAAGACGTTTCAGTCACCTGAATCAACACTACTTCGATCATATCGAAGGCATCGGCGCCGTGCAGCTTGACTTGCCTCTCGCCTTAAACCCGCGATATCACCGTTACAAAAGCGTTGGGATGTGCGTGCTTCAATTGTATCCTCCAGACGGGAACCCCTGGCTCTATCTCGATCCACTGGCTGGCGTCTCGACCGAACTCTTGGCATATACAGTATCTTGATCAAATCCGCCATGCCCCTTTTCCCCAATTCCTTCATATATACACTCTCCCCGAAAAGCAAGCTATAGAAAGAACATTCGAGCACCTGGTTGCCTCCACCGTCAGCCTTCCGAACATGTGCAGTGTTCAAGGTCAACTCCACATGTGGAGGACCACAACTCAGGGCAATTCTACACTCCCAGATCCGCGGCAGTACTTCCTTCTCAGCTTCTTTCATAAGCCGTGCGTTGGAGAATGTGCACGCTGCTGATGGTGTTGGAATGGAGCTTGATTGAGAATGTGAAGGTGAAGAAAGAAAGAATGGAGATTGCTGGTGTGCGAGACGAGCTTGTTCAAACACTTAGATCAAAGACGATAAACCCATGAAAAAAATGGGTGAGGGAGAGAAAGAGGTTAAAGAAGGGGGGGGAAGTGGTGGGTAATGACACATACTTGTGTGGTAGGGTTTGGGGGAACAGGACGACTAGGTGTACAACAAAGGTCTGGGAAAAGGGAACAATGGGTATACAACTAGGGATTGGGAAACAAGAGGATTGGGCATACAACTAGGGTTTGGTTCATGGCCGTTATATGAGATTTGGACTTGGTGGCGAAATGTAAATATGAGGGGATGGCGGTATCTACGTTCTCAACATGGACTTGTGGACGTGTTGGAGTTGGTAATTTCTAGGGCTCTGGAATTGGAGGATATACACTTATGTACAGAATGTAGAATTAGAAAGAGCATGAAGAGATGCTGGAAGACAAGAATGATTACCCCTTCTTCAAGGTCATGCTCGTCATACAAGCCCTTATTGAGACAGCGTACCATCCCTTTCAAATGAATGATATATCCTTGAATACGCATTCAAACCACGCATCTCCTACCTCTAATACCTCACACTCCCATAATCACTCTCCGAAACTCCAGAAAACCTCCTCTCCACCCCAACCCCTCCATCGTAAGAAACCCCTGCGCTACCCCCATTCTCCTCACCATAACCCGTATATTCAGAAAAAACCCCATCATATTTATCCGACTCATACTTCGTATAGTCCCCACTCATACTGGATTGTGCAGCAGGTCCTATTGCCATCTCCCTACTATACGCTGGCACATTTCCATTTGGAAAAGCCGCTGCATCACGCGTACCGCTGGCAGAGCTACGTTGCGACGCTACAGACGCTCTATCCGATCCGGCCATGAGCGACACGATGCGGTTCAAGACGCCATCTGGATTCATAGCGTCTTCCAGCTGGGCATTAGCGACGCGGAGTTGCTTTGCTTTCTTCCTGGTGTCGTAGTAGAGTTTTGCGAGGCCGATGAGTGCAAGGATGACGACTGCGGAGACGATGACGACTGCGATGATAGCTGTGTTGGCTGTGTTGGCCGCGTTTTTGGGGGTTGGTAGAATGGCTGCTGCGGGAGAGGAAGATGGTGTTGGCGATTGAATTTCTTGGCTGGTTGAATATGTTGGTGTAGGTACGACACTTGTTTCCGCAAAAGTGGCTGAGCTGGTTGGGCTGGGTGTCGCGCTTGGTGCCGTAGAATTATTAGGAGTATCACTGGAAAGTGGGGTATTGTGTGTTGTACTTGGACGAGGACGTTGTGATGAACTCGATGCATACGGTTTTGTAAACGGGGTCCATTCCTCAGGAATGTCTGCTAGAGACTCTCCTATCTGTTTGCAACCGTCTTTGTACTGCTTTATAAATGCTATGTCAGGCTCGAGTTAGTTTCCCACTCTATAAAGGCAGTAGTTGCAAACTTACCTCTCTTTTCACGGTCGTCTTTACACTCTTGAAACACACAATGTGCAGAGAAATAGTCGTTGTGGCCCAGAAACCGTGTTTTGGCACATACGCAGCGGAAGTAGCCCGACTCTAGAATGGCGCTGTCGCAGCTGAGCTCTTCACTGTCAGGTGTTAATTTGTCTCTGGCAACTTGCTGGCATTTTTTAGATATCTGACTGGGTTAGTTGCATTGTAGGATTGAAAGCGCAAGAACATCTTACAAGGCAAGGTACAGAGTTTGCTGCAGCTAAGGATGTCTTAGTCGCAGCGGCGAGACTTGGAGAAGAAGAAGAAGAAGAAGAAGAAGGAGAAGAAGAAGAAGAAGAAGAAGAAGAAGAAGAAGAAGAAGAAGAAGAAGGAGAGGGAACCACCAGAGGCGGGTTGTATTCACGCAGAATGTTGTCGGCTCTAATTTTCATGTTAAACTGCTGTAATATTGTGGAAGCCTCAAGTTGTTGCTGAAATAGAAAAGTATTCAATAGCCAACACGTTATTCATTGATAGCAGCGTTAGATAGGTCAGAAGGCGAAATGGAATACGGAAAGCCGATATCGCAGACGGATGTCGAGTGCACCTTGGAAAGATGTACCACAAATTGCATTTACAAAGCCAGAGTACAGAATCAAACAGCAACAGAAAGTAAGGACAAGGTTCAAAGGGTATCAAAGGAGTGTCTATTATCCATTACGTAGGCGTCGTGCTGTGATATCTGCAGTCTCATAAAGCGTGTTGTCGTGAATATCGGCAACTAAATTCATCGAGGAGGAAGTTGCACTGGCTCAAACGAGACCGTCTTGTTCAAGTTCCCGTACTCAGGCTTGGAACAAACGTCTACGAGCAACTGTTTGTAGTCTAAAATGGCAAAGTCAGATGATGAGTCGTTCAGGCTCGGGGGTTCACATCGACAACTTACTGGCAACTGCTCCGAGAGTGCATGCTTTCTTGCCTGGTTCACCGTCGAGGCATGGCTGCACGGTTTTGACATATCTGTCGACATCTTCTTGCTCCAAGTTACATATACAGATTAGGTTGCCAGGCGCGCAACCGTCAAAGTAGCCGTCGGTGAGACATTCGTTCTGTTCGCCTTGATTAGCCCATAGCTCGGCGTGTGCGTGACATGCATCGTACCGCGCCACACGTAGGCAGCTTGTTGGTATAGTTTGTTGGGGCCGACCAGACTGTGGGGAGGAGGGACACAATGGCGACAATCGAACCGCTGATTATCATGGTGTTGGCTGGCGACGGTGGAGTGCGTACGGTTGCGGAAGAAGTGGTGAGTTGGGTCGATATGTAGAAATCACGAGAAGTGCAGCTGAGCGTCCAAGCGCAGACTAGACCAGCCTCCGACCAGACCAGACGATGATGATTTATGGGTGCAGATCGCTGCTTCCTTATTTGTTTGTGCATGGCGCAGACAAGGGTAGCGTTGTTTTCTAGGCTGGTGGATCGATTCCGTCCCACAGGTCACACGGCCGCTGATCTACCCCGACGAAACACAGCGGGCGGGGGACAGATTCCAAACGCGCGGCGGCGTCAATGGCACCAAACTCAGAACAAGCGTTCCTCACAAAGGGTCAAGTCTGGAGCTGGAGCGCTGATGCGGCTGCAATTTGGTTTCCGCTGTGGGGTCCCCCGGGTGCCCCAAGCCAAGGGCAACCATGTCTATGCCGCATACCTGAAGCGACACGCCCTGTGGCTAGACATGACCAGGCTAGTTTTGGATAGAGAGGCTGACCTCCTGCTCTTGTAGCACATTCACGATGCAATGTAAATCACAATGCCAGTAGCCTCGTCGCATCTTGGGAGTCGTATGATTATTAGACTACGCGATTGCCGCACGGCATCGTGTCGCGAATAGATTACCATCGGAACAAAACAAAGCCTCCAGTCTTCACCCCTTCTTCCCAACGCCCCTGCGCATGTGCAATCACGTCCGTCATGCGCCCGGCATTTCTGACCTGCCCGAATACCTTGGGCCAGTCTGTTGCCTCATTCTAATACTCTTGTTCCTAGTGTTGAACCCTCATGGCCGCAGGCCTAGAACAAGCAGTCCAAACAACAACAACATGCCAGACCCGCGCACAATCCAGCAAAGAGCCCGCCACCTCCACCGCCATCATGCCTCCTGTTGTCCTGGTAATATCCACCTGGTGGAGGCGGTCCCTGTTGGTATTGCATCTGCTGTCCACCATACTGTCCTTGAGGAGGACCGTACTGGCCCTGTGGCGGACCTGGTTGGCCTTGTTGATAGGGGTTCGGGCTTCCGCCGTAGTAATCAGGGGCACCGTCACCTTGGTTGTAGTATGAGGGTTGCATGCCTCCAGGAGCAGGACCAGCGTCGTAGTGAACAGGCGCTGGGTTCTGAGGGTATTGAGGCGGTGCGCCTTGGTCCTGCCTCGGGCGTTAGTATGGTGCGCTCGTTATGCTAAACAGGGGGTGGCGACGGCAGTGTGCGCCACAGTAGAGTGGAATGGCGACCACCCATCGTTAAACCAAGGGCAAGGACACGTACATATGGTTTGGACATGTTGGCGGTATGTGAAAGAAGTTGTCAAGTTTGTAGTGTAAAAGCGAAAGAGCCACCAGTTAAGAGGCAAATCTTAGAAGGAGGTCGCTGCACGCGTTCCGCGGCAAAGCTGGGCAATGTCTGGTCCGTCGTCGATCGGCTATCTGTATCACCTATGCGGTCTCGGTCAGTGTTGTGGCGTCAACAACAATGTCAATCGAAAGGAAATGAGTGAGCGATGTGTAGGTGTATAGAAGATGGATTAAAAACGAGCGACAATTCGGATAATAGGTGAACCTGAGTGCCGAGTTGATCACACATCAGTTGTCGCGGCATACGAAGGAGGGTGGCTGAGCTTGCGTGGCGGATAGTCTAAGCCACTTTTGTCATAGTGTGGGCCGCATTCACCCTCTCAGCGCAAACCCTCTCCGACCTTCCAAGGCGCGTGGCACCCTGTCATGCGCCACGGTGCAGATACTCGACATCAATACGGTAATCTTTGCGTACACGGGATGCACGGCGTCTTGTGCAAAAATACGCATCAACGCACCTGCAAAGCACAGATCTCCAGACAGTCACGAGAACACGGCAAATCTCAACAATCCGGGCGTACATTGAACGAAACTAAGCTTACAAGCTGCTCAATACATAGGCCATACAAGTCACAGTCACAAAACAACATGGGGCTATCTAGTAGCAGGCGCAAAGTATACAAACCTTGAATATCGAATGTTTCGCATCGGGTTTGGGAAGGGCGTCGGGAAATAGCGGGAAGCTGAAATCGAACGGGGGGGCATCGAAGAGGGAAAGTGAGGTTGGAAGACTTCGAGGTGCTACGGACCGACCGAATAGTGTACAGGAGGCAAGGAACTCGAACCGCATCGATGTCGACCGATCGACCGAAACAAGGCGAGAAGACCGAACCGAATGGTAATCGCCGTGACCGTTCGCCAAAGAAGATCCGAATCGAGCTTTTCGACTGCTGAATGCATTAATGTCGTGGCAGGACATAGACGTAACTCTAGCCTCCACTCGGAGAAACAAAACATGATCCCAGAAACCATTATCCGCTCAACAAAACAATGTGCAGGTACCAATTTCGAGCACGCGCGTCAATACTAGCCTTGTGCACACGGCGGCAGTAATCCGGATACTGCCTGCTGGAGGGTTGCCAGCTCATGGCTTACTCAGCTACGTCCAGGTCGTCATGAGCCGCAGGCGGAGGAGATTCGACTGCAATGGTGATTAGACCGGATTGTCGTCAAGGGCATCGGATGTCTCACTCTTTCGGGGTTCAGCAGGTGGCTCAGCCTCGCGCTCACGGTCGCGCCTCTCTTCGCGGTCGCCACGATCACGGTCGCCTCGGTCGTCCTCACGGTCGCGGACATCCTTCATCTCGCGGTCGCCGTCAACAGGGCTCCTTGATCGGTCACGGTCACGACGGTCGTAGTCGCGCTCGCGGCGGTCATCCTTGCGAGGGGATGCACCGCGTTCACGGCGTGGGGAAGTGCTGCGACGGCGTGGAGAGCGTACCCCACGGTCTGCACGATCACCGCGGTCGGAACGGTCGCCTCGGTCACCGCCACGCTCAGAGCGCTCACCGCGGGGGCGGTCACGTCCTGAGTCGAAGCGCCATGATGCCGAGGGAGGAGTACGTGCCCACTGTGCCTTGTTAGATTCAATTGCGTCCGTAGTAGCCTCCTGAACATACCTCAATCTTCAACAAGTCATCGCGGCCGATGCGCTTGTTGTGCATCTCGTGATACGCATCATCGGCATCCCGGCGAGACTCGTATTCGACGAAGGCGAAGCTGCTGTTCTGTTAGAGCCTGGGAAGGTGGCTAGGGTGGAGGGCCAACTCACAGCCTAGACGAAGCCGAACGGGGAGCCGGAATGTCGCAACGGACAAGGCGACCATAGCTTGAATGTTGTCAGAATAGCTTCGGGAAGGCGCTTTATGCGTGATGAAACCTGGTGCAGGCGCTGCTTACGCGAGCAAGAAAGCGGGAGCGCGCGAGGGAGCAGTCGCAACAGCAGCGGAGCGTGGACAGCAAGGAGATGCAGGATCGATGGTTATGATGGAGGAGGAAGATGCGAGGGCGATCGAGTTGGGGCGAGGCGTTGGGAGACATACCGTTCGAACTCGTAGGCAAGGTCGCGAGCGCGTGTTCCGTGGCCGAAGCCAGTGACGTAGAGCGTAGTGCCGCCGCCGCGAGACATGCTTGAAATATGAATATCGGTGTCGCGTATACGTCCAAGTGGTGCGAAGGTTGCGATTAACAAGCGGGTGGTCGGCTTTGGGGTATGTGGGTGTTGATGGAAGATTCCAAGGCGGACAAAAAGACCTGGAGGCAGCTGCAGCAAACGCTTGGGCAGGCGCTATGACCACATTCTTGGCAGCCTCACTCCGTCGACGTCAACTTTTCCATCGAAGGAACGCCTTATCATAAGGCCCTTCCCATTGGCGCATTATTATTTGGAAGCACAACACATCCTTGTGCCGCATATGTATCTTTGACGACGGTCTCTTCTATTCTCAGGTTGCGTATACAAGAAATTTCCGAAAAAGCAAATCACGCAATGTGATTGTGCACCTGCGTACACATAGACATTTGTACATCTATCTACAGAATATACATATACATTACACAATAAAATGTTGTACATGGACTAAGAAGAGAATGCCCCATATGGCGCTCCATTGAGTTTGAAGTAACCAGGTTGGAGTGTCTGGAAGACACCCGTGGGATCATAATTGGCCGCAATGTCTTGCAGCTTCTGTTTGTTGACTGTCCCATAGCTAGCAATGACATCTTGGTAGGGTGATGCATAATTCATATAGAGGAAGTCACTGTAGAGCCCCTTCTTGTCCGCTTCAGCAATGAGACGCTCAATCAGGCTATTGGCGAATACCATGATGCGCGTATTATCGGCAATGTTTGTCCACATGATAGCAAGGTTGCTGATGCAAATGGGACCGTCATCGGGATTGAGGCCCCGCGGGTTGCCGCCATTCTGTTGCATTTTCCGCATAGCTGGAACAGTAATGGCTTGGAATGACAGCACGGGTAGGACGCCGGCGGCGTCTGCAATTGCCGGCACCATGTCGAAGAAGATGTCAATGAAAGTCTTGAAGATGTCCTTATCCACTTTGAAGGTGAGGTCCCAATACGTCTCCTGTATGCCATCAGGAGCGCCCGCGCCAAGCTGGTTCGCCAACTTTGACATGTTGGCAACCGAGGTCTGGTCAAAGATTGCTGGAATGGCCTTCCATTCGTCGAAAACGGGAGGCCACGGAGTCGGGTCGGAGTATTCAAGGTCCACCGCTGCAATTTTCGTACCGTTTTGCAGCGCGAATGAGACAATTTGAGCCTGCTTAGTATCTTTTTCGGCATTGATCGCAAAATTGTAGTAGGCTTGATACATCTTGTCCCACTGGTCTTCGCTATGAGCGCGCTGTCCGCCCCACATGGGACCTTGAAGGAACGTCCTCATGTTGAACTCTGTGACAATGCCAAAATTGTTGCCGCCGCCACGAAGAGCCCAGTAGAGATCGGGAGATTCCTCAGCGCTTGCAGTAACAATTTCGCCCGATGCTGTTACTACTTCGAACGATTCAACGTTATCACAAGCCCATCCGTAGGCGTTGGAATAGTGAGAGATCCCTCCTCCAAGGGTCAATCCAGAAACGCCGACCGAGGATATCTAATCATTGTCAGACATTCGGGATCTCTTCAACGAAATGAAGACGGGGAAGACAGTGAAAAGGCATTTAGAAACGTACCCTACCCCCAATGACTTCTCGCCCATACTGCTCAATCCATGGGTATACATCGCCCCAAGTATTACCTGGCCCAATGGAAGCTACACTATAATCCGGCGACATGGACTTTTTATTGAGCTTCTCAAGCGCAATTGTGATGCCGCCTTCAATACTCGATCCTCCAGCGAACGCAGCATGCCCTCCTCCTTTCACTGCAATAGGACATTGGGTGAACCGAGATAGCAAGACAACGGCTGCTACCTGTGAAGCATCGCTGGGTTTGAATATGCAAAATGGGTTGACTGCGACTTGCTGCGCCGCCCAGTAATCGCCAGTAAAGTCGCTGTATGCTGAGCTTCCCTGTGCGAGCACACTGCTGTTGCCGAAAGTGCGTTCAAGAGTGGAACACTAGGTACGTATGCCATTAGCTTATGATCTAAGCAAGCTACGATGATCGCCTAAGCACACTCACAGCTGTTGAGCAGGCGGCGGGCGAAGATGCGTCGACTAGCTCTGCCAGACCAGGGATAGCTGTGACATTGATCCCTTTGACTAGGAGCGCCTTGGCTACATTGAAGTTGGGGGGCTCAAAGGCGCTTGCCAGCGCACCTGCTATTATAGACAGACCCGAAAAGGCCGCGGGAAGAGGGAGTCTCATAATTAAGGTCAGCGGGTCCGGGGTAGGTACCGAGAATCCGGGTCAGAAACTAAGTAAGACACAGGAAGCCACCTGGTTAATATACTTTTGGCCATCTTGTCCGTAAGTTACATAAGTACACTGTCAGAAGCGTGCTCGTCCGACGGGAACATGGTGCCGTGCCGGGGCGTGAGAGAGAAGTCGGCCGGTGCATTCGCGAATAGCACCGCACAGGTTTGATAGTGTTCAGACTAGAGGCTTATACCCTGTCGATAGTAATGCCGTGCCAAAACGCCACCGACTACAAACAACGGGGGGTTTCCTTCAACAATACGACAATCCCAAGGTGGCGTGTGCAGGTGGATATTAGAGCAGCCATGCCGAACCGCTCTGCATGTTCGCCATCAGGACGTTTGCCCGAAACATCAACGCCACTGCGCCGGCTAGACGCCTTCGCTCCAATGACAGCTGGGCGCACGTACTTGTTCTTTATCGTATTGGCAGAGTACACGATATGCTCGCGCTGAGCAAGCCAACAATCAGCGAACAGATGGGCCTAGCCCCGCTGTGGCTTGCTTCGCCGAACGCAAATGGTGAGCGTTTCTAGGGGCGTACCACACTCTAAGTATATCTAGCAGGAGGCAATACTAAAGAACATGACGAGTAGGGGTATTGCGATCGACCAATTGCAGTGATTTTGAGAGCAACGCGGGTCTAGAGTCATGTCGCAAAAAGGAACGAAATGCGCGAGCACAGGCGCTAAAGTTTTTTAAGGCGTCCTGACAGGCAGCCGCCCTGGTGCGCACCAGCCCATGGAGTAATAAACCCCGTCGTGAACGTGCATCCTACACATGTTGCAACGTCTTGCGTGCACAAACAGAGTACGCTGCACTTCACCGTGGGAGCGCTCAGCGTGGTGGTAGACGAACAGGTGAAGTTGCACAAATCCAGGGGCGCGGCCCCGACTACCAGCCCTGCGGATATCGTCAATCGACTTTCTTCGAGTCCTCCTTTCGGCAGACACGTGCATGGCCCCATGCACTGGATTCCATGCGTCTTACAGGCCTGCGGATCCCTCCGAAAGCTACATATGGGCCCCGTTCGAGCTACGACTGGGTTTAGCAGTATTGTTTGTAAAGTGGCTGCCCCCAGGGCTTTGTATCTGCAATCCTAACTTCCGCGGCCATCTTCGACAGATTACTCGCGCTGAACCGCTTCCCCGCGCCACATCACCAGACAACAGAGGCATGCCGCATGCGCTCTAGAGATTTTTGTGCTTGTTGTGATCTTTAGGGCCGGGCCCACACCCGACCCCCTTTGAGCCTGTATCCACCATGTCGACGGGTGCGGATTGGATCTCGCAACATGATCTCCTCCGAAGCGACTATGCCATGCTCGGCACCACCTCGACTGTTTTTGCAATACGTGTTGCGGTCCAGATATGGCGAAGAAGGCCGATTGAAGCGCAGGATGTCTTGCTTGGAATTGCTTTCCTGGCCTATCTCGCCTTTACCATTCTCTACATAGTGATTACGCCCACCTTCTTCAAGCTTCAAGCGCTGGCAGCAGGCCAGGTTGTGCCATGGCCAACGATGGCGGCAGATCTCAGATTTACATCTGAAGTCATGTGGCAAAGTGGCATGGAGTATTGGACATGTCTTTGGTTTGTCAAGTTTTCACTGTTGGCGCTCTATAAGAAGCTGCTCGCCGGGATGCCCAGGACATACCTATGGGTCTGGTGGGGAATATTGGTATTTTGCATCGTGGTAAGACTCCAATGAGAAAGACTCTGGTGTGAGCATGGCTGACATTGGTTCAGACTTGGGCAACTTGTATCATAACAGGTCCAGGCCTGGCATGCAACGATACGAAGGCGTTCTTTGAAGAAGGGAAACAGTGTCTATCGCTTGGGGAGACGCGGCGTCAGACAGCAAACCTTTACTACGCATACGCGGTCGACACACTGACTAATCTTATGGGTATGTTGTCGAGTTTCCCAACTTCTGTTCTGGTCGAGTATGCACACTGACGTATCTCGAAGTCATGTTCCTGCCCATAAGACTCATCTGGAATCTCCAGATGGAGAAAGCGAAGAAGATTGGATGTGGACTCCTCTTCGCTTCTGGTTTTGTTTGTATACTCTTTTCGACTATTCGCATTGTTCAGGTTGGCCAGGATGGGAAGCCGAAGTCACCAGATCCGAAATGGCTTACCCTATGGACGATTGTGGAGTGCTCAACAGGTGAGGGATGCTTCTTGCCTTGTCTAAACCATACTGATGCTTCGCCAGCTGTGATGATTGGCTGCTGCCCAATGCTTGCATCTGTCGTGCCAAAGAGCTGGTCCCGTCCTTCAGGCCGGGCATCGTTCAACGCAGAAGGCTACATCGAGCAGTCACCCAACGGATCGGACGAAACTGGATCAAAAAGTCAACGTCTTCGTAATATGCACAGCTCCAGGAGTCGAAAAAAGCGCAGTGAAAAGTCTTCGCAACAAGTCAGCGTAGCCACTCAAGATGAGCTCCTGGACCGCCGAACCGGAGGTACCGGTATTAGGATCACAGATGAGATGCGTGAACAGCACATGCGGCGAATGGAAGAGAACCAGTGCATGGAGGAAGGGCGCTCAAAAGGCCTGCCACCGGACGTGTGAGTAGGTTTGTAGCTGTCAGTAATTAATTTCAAAAACAAAGATAATTTTACAAGTCACTGCATGTAAATTTGTGAGTGGATACAGCGTTCAAGGATAGTAATACCGACGTTTTCATCCACCCCTGGTGACCGACGGCAAGAACGGATATGAGGTCGGACTTCGGTATGC